CGTCCGCTGCCCTCAAGGCATAATGGGCCACAGCACTTTCGCCCCAAATGAAGGGTCTAAACTTATCCAAGCCCACATCGAAACGTTCGTAGTGCTCCAGCAGAGCTAGGCCATAGCGATCTGCGGCAGACAGTTTGGCATGATAGGAGCCCAGGATGACGGGTATGTGTGCGGACTGGAGGGCACTGGGTGCCTTTCTGGCCAGTGCCTCCATGAGCTGCAGCAGATGGGTTTTCGTCTCACTCTGGCTGCCCAGGAGATGGTCAAAGCAGCAGGAATGCGTGCAAATCATATCATACAGTTGGGCTGGCGTGCCATCCTCCTCCTCCTGCTGCTGCGCTTCCTCCTTGTAATCCTTGTACATGCCGTCGCACAAGAAGGCCATTAGCTTCAGCACGAGTCCATTAGTTTCATCCTGCAGCGGCTGTCGTTCTTCACCCAGATGAAGGGCCAACTTCAGGCAGCTCTTGCAGAAGTTAAGCCACTGCGGGTTCTTCAGCAGGCGACTCCAATCCAGGGGTAGATCATGGCCCTGCTTCAGCTCCCACCACTCGTAACAGTTCCATGCAATTTGCTCCAGCTTGGGCAGATCCAGAACCTGCTTCTTCAAATCCAGGGCCAGCAGCTGGACATTGAGGTTAATGTAATTTACAAATACCGAGGCCTTTTGCTTCTCATCCTTGGCGGTGGCAAAGGCTTGCCAATAAATCTCCCGAAGAACTCGCACCTGGAAGAGCTCCACGGAGTCGAGTTTGAGCTGTTTCTGGCAGTAATCCAGGCACTCGGATTTGGGCATGCAAAGGGCAATGAGCAGAGCACTGGCCTCCGGATTTTCACGGTAGATTAGGGCTGCCTTCTGCGGCTTCTCAATGCTCTTCATGAAGCCATTCTTGTATGTCTGATAGCAACGTTGAAGCACTGGTTGAGGTAGTTGGTACTTCTTGGTCAGGGCAATGTCCAGTAGGGGATACACGAGTTCCTTTTGCTCCAAATTGCTGGGCAGCAGTTCGGCAAATTTCTCTGCCAGTCTGGGTTGGCGTTCGAGCAGCAAACTGGCCAGGCGAATGGCGGATTTACTCAGCTTACGCGAGGATGTGAAGAAGCAGGCAAAGAAGTCGCTGTCGCACTCGCCCAGATGATGATGGTAGCTAAGCAAGAACTGCAGAATGGCCGCCTCTAAAGGTTCCAAATGTTGTTCGCTCAACTCACAAAAATCCTTGTAGAAGCTTAGCAGCACCTTAAATGATTTGCTGCAATCAACGGGCTCCTTCGAAGTGGTCAATCGTCCCAGCAATCGCAGCAATAGATCGAAGTAGTGATTGGGCTTGCCATTTGATATAAAAGCCTTTGCTTGCATTTTGGTGGTAAGCAAGTCCAGCATCTGAGAGCATTCGCCAGAAGTCAATTCAAAGGAATCCACCAGCGCCACACACTCAACAAGTTGCTGTTGATGCTCCAATCGATCCACTGAGCTGTCCAGAGCAATATCCAGGCTCTTAATCAAGTGCAGCCGGTAGTTGGCCATATAGTTCTCGAATCGAGGCAAACTACGGCAGTGTTCCGTCAGTCGCCTTAGGAAAATAACATAGTTCAAGCGAGATTCGCTCGTTTCGCTTAATATTTCGGTGGGATGCAATTGCCACAGCCGAATGTTGAAGATGTAGTGCAGCAGACTCTGGGTGTAGGTCTCGAATTGTTGCTCCTCATCCTCCTCTTGCACCTCCTCCTTGCCATCATCCACTTGGCTGGCGATTTGCAGAAACTTAATAAGATAATCTGCCGTGAGTTCTGCCTGCATTTTGCTGAGAAGCGCACTGGAGAAGAGGTGGCTAAAAACAAAGAGCAAATCCTGAACGTAGACCATGTTGCGTCGTGGATTGCTGAGGCTGGGGTGCAACAACATTGTCTGACCCTCGCCCAGTTGCAGCTCAAAGTTCTTGTCGGTTTGCACCACTTTGAATATCTGTTCGAAGGGCTGGACATCCTCATTGGTGATGACCGTGCGCATTTGCTTCAGCAGCGGCCACTTGTCCGCTAAGATCGGTGGCAGTTTCTTTGGTTTCTCCTTTGAGTGGACAGGCAACCAGCTCTTCATGTAATCAGTGTTGCTACTTAGGCTACTACCCTCGTAAAGCTGCAGCACTTGTTTCGGCTTGGTGTGATAGTGGAAAAGCATTAGGAATACCAGCTCCACGTAGGCGTCGTAGGGCTCCTCCAACTCCACACCCTTCAGCAGCAGAGGCATCACCTTGCTCAGGCTTAGAGTTTCCACATAGGCCTGCACAGTTTGACCCTGTTCAATTTGGGCAAACAGTTTGCTTAGGTTTTGGGTCTTCGACGTCGTTTCCGCAACACTAAGCTCCGGCAACTTTATCTGCCGCCAATCCAAGCAGAGTACTTCCAGCAGGATGTCCACCACATTGGTCACCGTTGCCGCATCGAATCCGATGAGAGCCTCAAGCCAAATATTGATCTCGTGGCTGCAGGAATCAAACAATCCCGTATTGTGGAAGAGGCGGTTCAATATGTTTCCAGCCTCTGCCTTGATGGCCACATCCTTCAGCATGTACGCTTTAATGAACGATTTGAACACCTTACCGAAGAGGGCTTCCTGCGGGTTTAAAGAGCGCGGAAACAGCAAAAGGATGGTCTTAATCGACTTCAACTCCAATTGAATCTTGAAAAGCTCCTGTGGTTCACTCAGATTATCGAAATCAGTCTGGTACAGGGGTCTCAATACTTCCAAATAGTTTAGAATTTGACTTGTTTTGTTCACAAAAGCTCGATTCTCCTTGCACATGAGCAGCACCAGGTCTAGGGTAACCGATAAATGTTCCAGCACATCCACTCCTTCCATTTTCTCCTGCTTGATGGTGGTGAAAAGGGAGACCAGAATGGACTCAATGGTGGGAAAGTGGACTAGCAGATGGTTCAGCAAGTCGAACTTGAATTTCCGCAGCGAATTGCCGGCCTTTTTCGACTGCTCCCGCACTGCAATGGCATGCACATAATTGCTGTACTGCTGCATCATGGACAGGAGAAGGCGCATCATGGCAAGCCGAAAACTGAAATCTATATTGCCTAGGTATTGTTTGCCTGTGATGTGCATCAGCGCTTCGATGGGCAGGCACAGCTGCTTGATCCAAAATCCGAAATCCGTTAGCGTCATCTTGTCGAAGGCAGTGGACAGAGCAGTCGGAGGAACTGCATCGATGACCTGGGCCAGGAAAATCGCCGCCTTGGGTATGTCCTCCATCTTGTTCCTCGCCGGACTGAGGAGACAGGAGAAATTCCTCACCGTATTGCGTCCCAAATCCGGACAGGCAGTCAGTGTCTTGATGACCAGCTCCGTTTTGCGTGGATTATCGAACGGTTTGTACAGCGAACCGAGTAGTCTGCCTTGCAGCTTGTTCTGCTTCTGGCGGTAGTGGGTCATGGCATCAAAGCAGACGCCGTGCTTGCGTGAGGTGAGCAGGACCAACAGCAGTTCGTGCACGGCCGCAGATACGGATTCCGCCTCCTGCGGATTCACAGGCTGCTTCCCCTTTCTTTGGTGATGGCCAAACAACACGGTGAGCCCAGCGGGTCCCTCCCAGTCGTACAGGCGTCGCAGGTTCTTGCAGCACTCCAGGTCGAAGACCAGCACCTTCTTAGTTTTCTGTATTTCGGGGTTCTCCAGCACATACTGCCTCAGGGCGTTCAGCACCACGCAGACGGTGACATGGTCATCGTAGACCAATCCCTTGGTCAGCACGCCAATCAGTTGTCCTCGGTCCAGGATGTTCCGGATCAGCAGAGTGTTGCCCTCGACCAGGAAGGCGAGAATAAAGTGTATAAACGCCTTGCGCACTGTGTCCTCGTTCCGGTAATCCTCCTTGGCATGCGACAACATCTGCTGCACCACCGTCACGTTAGAGAGGACATCGTAGGAGTTCAGCACTTGGCGGCCCAGTTGTGGCTCCACGCAAACGATTGCCGTCAGCAGTTTAAGGGCGTTGGCCCGATGACTTGGGTACAAGGACTGCAGCAGCTTATCGAGCACACCGCCGTGGACCTTTAGGAAATAGCGGCATCCATGGGCCGCAGATTCCATGTGGCTCTTCTGGTTTGTGAGTATTTCCATCACAACACGCTGGAGTGCCTCCGTGAGGTAGTTCACGTGCAGCAGGTTACTCTTATCGATCCTTTCGAAGGCCTCGACCAGCTCCAAAGGTTTTCCACGCTTCTCGATGTACTTGGCCGGCAGTTTGGGGCGGGTGGTGGCGCACATATGCAGGAAGTGACGCAGTTCTAAGAGGAGTTATCAAATGGGTAAGGTGATGTTTGACTTATAAGCATATTTACCAACCTGTAATAAAGTTATTGCTGCGGAGTTTTGTGCGGAAGTGCATCATTTTGAAGTCGTTGGGAAATCGTATGTTCACTTCTTCGGGCTCAATGCCGGAATCTGGACTTATTTCATCATCACCGTGCTGATCTTTCCTTCGTTTTTTAAGTTTCTTGGATGGTGATTCCTCCACCACCTCCTCTTCCATTTCCACCTGTTGCTCTTCATTTTCAGCGGGGGCTTTGGGCTTTTTTACCTTTTTCTTCGAAGGAGTGGGGTCGGCTGACTCTGTTCCATTTGTTTCCGGCGTGGTTTCCTCCGAGGTTTCATCTGTTTTGGTCTTTTCTTTCTTCTTTTTCCTTGGAGTGTCGGACTCCTTGGCCAGTTTCTTGGGCACCGCCACATCGCCTTCGTCCTGCTGTTCCGCATTCGCCTCCTCGTGTTTCCTCTTCCGCCGATTGGATTGTATAGCCATGGTACTTTACAAAACCCCTATTTATCGTGTAATTCGTTAAAAATAAAAGTTAAATAAAAAACAACCGCACACACGTGCTGGCGGCAAATGGTGTGACCGTATTGGATGTCCTAAGAAATACCACTTTGGTTTCAGTGTTGGCAAACACCACTTTTGGCGCGCACTTAAAATGTTAACTAGCATAAAAACAGCTACTTATTGGGTTTATTAAAATTTATTTATTTAATTTAGCATTAAGCTTATACTGTCAAACAATAAAGAACGTCATTTCACTTCAAGCTACAATGCCTGGGTGGTTGGAAATTCCACCAGGCCGCACGACCGTGTGACTCATGCCATTTGTCAATTTACACTTTTTCCCTTCGACGTAATCATATCTTTGCTGATTTAACCGGGTTCTAATCATCCTCCAGTGCCGCATTGGTTGCTCCTCCAGGTGCAGATCCGAATCCTCCGGGAGCAGAAGTGGTCACCGATCCTGAAACTGGGAACTCCGGCAAAGTTGAGCGCTGTTTGCCAGGAGCCGGCGGAACTGGGGGCAAATCAACCGATTTACTAGTGCCTGTAAACACACTCCACTTATTTAGTGCCTCTTGTTTATGCAGATATGTGTAAATCACTTACTAAAACAACAACCCATTATGGTATACTCTTGACTTATTCTCGAGGCGAGTGGGCCAATTTGCCGAAAGTTCTTTGAGCACTAAATCAGGCAAATCAAATCGTGGGCCAATTGACTGGGTATGCGTATGTGTGCACCTGTGGCGTGCAAACGACTCATGGCTCATTGATAAGCCAAACTGTGTTACTTTTATTCTCTTTTTGTTTAAAATGTAAAGTGGGTTATTTATGACCATGGGGCGCAGGTTGCTATCAAACTGTAGTTCCCCATGGGCTGCACAAGCTGGGTAAAAAAGAGCGCCGAACTATAGCAAAAGCGCACATCTTCAGTCGGATACAACCGGAACGCAGCGACCAACAAACCAATTAAGATAAGGGCTTATCAGGGCAAACCGTTTCTAAAGCTTTGTAGTTGGCGCTAAAAGTTCAACTGGTAAATTATATCGTTAACCAACTTTATTATCGATTAATTATCGCTCCTCTCTAGACCGCGAGACAATTTGAACAATTGTTTCGGCCCTTATGTAAAAAATAGTTAATAGAGCACTATTTTTGTATTGAATATAAAAATTTCTCAGCAGAGTTTTAATACTTTTAAAATCAATTTAATAAATTCTTTCATTTTATTGTTTTTAAGAACCCATTTATTTTTGGCAATATTTTATATTTTGCTATTTTTAAGAAAAAAATAAAATACAACTTTTTCTATTGATAAATCTTTATATTAACATGTATCTATGTTTTCTTTTAAACAAATCAATGATTCATTGCCAATTTAAAATCTCTCATAATTTTTCTAATTGTTTGTTTTAAATATATGGTTCATAGATTTTTATGTTGTATAATAAATCAATTATACTGTTGCTACTGGAGATTTGTAAGATTTTGTGCTCAGAAAAACCCACTACAACTTGTCTTCTGTTTACCACTGACCAGTGTGACCGTTTGTCGTTACCCCCGAATCCCTTAGCTGTCACCGTTCCCCAAAAATAGACATAGGGGCGCGGAGCGGGGGGCGGTCGTTCATTATCAGCCGGAACGTAAACAGCGTCGCTGCTTTTCACGCTTTCCGATAAAAATGTTTAAATCACACTGTGTTAATTAGAGTCGAAATCAAAATCAATGCGCCAGTGGACGCGAACGACTCGAGATCGTGTGCGCGTGAACGCGGATTAAGAAGCTCTTTGAACTAAACAAAAAACAACTAGCAGTGTGAACTGTGATTTTTGGCCCGTGAGCGAATCACGTGCAAAGCGGATAAACAAAAGCCATAAAAAACAGATTCGCACGAGAATCGAAGAAAAGCCGTCGTCTGTGCGCTTAAATTACAATTCGGATTTGGAAAAGTCGAGTTTTCCCTTTCCCCGGAGGAGAACGGCTTTCCAACCGCCGCCGCCATGGACGACGAGTTCAAGCTGTGCTGGAAGAACTTCCAGGACAACATTGCCAGCGGCTTCCAGAATCTGTACGACCGCGGCGACCTGGTGGACGTGACCCTCGCCTGCGACGGGAAACTTCTCCAGGCCCACAAGATTGTGTTGGCCATCTGCAGTCCCTACTTCCAGGAGATCTTCACCACCAATCCCTGCCAGCATCCCATCAGTGAGTACTGCTTGGCCATCTCATCATCATCATCATCGTCATCGTCATCTAACCTAGTGTCTTAGCCAGTAACCTATTTCTGCTATCCAAAAACGTGCTAAGATATACGGCCGGTCTTATATTGTCTCCATCATACATATGGATGACCCTAGTTGTGACCACGCGACCACTTCCGCAACTACTAAACTAAGTGCTCCGTTTCGTGGACATACATACATATGTACATTTGTAATAAGACATTGAGTTCTTTACCTATTCCCTTACAAATTGGTTAGCTAATGTCTTGTACAAATACTTGCTAGATGGACATTAGTTTGTCTTGACGATTTACCATTCTGTGTCTATATATACACATATATATTTCCAATACAAAGCATTATTAAGTTCCTTTATAATTTAACTTAGAATTTAATTAGCTAATACCTGAGAAAGAGAATTCCAAAATTCCAAGTAAAATTCTATTCCAAACGGCGAACAACTATGCGCCACCTTTTCCTACTCCAATTGGTCAGTTAAATTTATACTATTTGGATAAAATAAGTCGAATTGTGACATTGCCATACATATGCCCAAAATAACCAAAAGGTTCTCCAGAAATCGGTCAGTTTATCACTGGCACAGCGGTGTCAGTTTATCGAGGAGCCCGCCCGTCAGCCTGTCTGTTCGTCACTCTTGTCAAACGCTTAGATATAAATCAACCTTTGTGTTTAATTCCATGACACATTCGCCGGTTATCAGTCCAGCTCCACCTCCAGTTCGATTCCCAGGTCCACCCAGAGTCCCAGCCACGGCAGCACGTGTAGGGTCTGCTCCAGGCAATTACAGTAGCTCTTCTGCAAAACCATGTACTTAACTCTAAAAATATGTAATTGTTTTTATTCCTAATCCAGGAACTCCATGACAGGACAAAAAATTAATCATCTCCATAATTATTTTCCTTAACTTAAGCTGATTTACCTTATATTTAAATAAATTTATTGCAAATTGTATTTTTTAAATTCAATTTCCACTAGTTTAGTCAGAGTAATCAATTTATTTGATATACATTAATGATTTTAAATGATGATCGATGGATTTCTGTTTAATTTCTAATATTCATACATTTGATATGGTGCATGATTCAGATATGTCTGAAAAAACAAAATACTGTCTGTCAAAGGGATCACTTCAGAAATGCAAAATCACCCTTTTAATCTAAAGTCCAACAACGTCCAAGGATCAAGATCAAGTTTCTTAAAAAGCGTTTTTCATCTGATTGACAGCTATTGTTCTAGTTATAGACGTTTGACTGTATAACAATGTCGCTGCTCGTAAATCTAAAGACAACAGCAGCAACCCACTAAGAATCGAGGTCTGTTGATAATCCTCCAGTGAGCCGTCGGCTGCCGCCACGTTGTCTATGGCTATGTGGTAGCCTATGTGGAGTCCTCCGCCTCCAGAGGCACACCCGGATTGTTTACCCACGGGAGTACCGTGCTCCGTGCTCCGTGCTCCGTGATAAGGTCCAGAGACCCACTTCTGCGCTCGATCGGATCGGGGAGATTGGGTGCGTTGCTGACCTCATCAAATGTACTTCAAATGGACTCTAGAACGGTGGTGTTATATATGGTATATGGATATGATATCGCCGAGCCAGGGAGGGGCCCTCGGTCCGTTCGATTTCGTTCGCGGACGTGTTGAACACGAATGCCTGCTGCACGGTGGCTTTATCTGATCAGGCGGCCATAAAAAATAAGGTTTTATCTTTTCAAGTAGCAGCAGAAAGGTGCTACCTACCCACCGAACGCTGCTGCTACAAGAGCTATTTCCAAAGATAAAGAATATTAATATACCCTATAAATAACGCTGAGCGCGCAAGCGGGGGCAAGTTATTAAATATAGACCGGCGAACAGCGAACAAGCCAAAGCTAACCAACAACAGTCATCGAGGTGCTAACAAGCCAAATGGCTTCGGTTGCCTTGCTGCTTGCTGCTTGATGTCGATGTTGCTTTATGTGTCTGCCCATTGTTGTGAAGTGTAACACGCAGCGACAACAATAGTCTAAATATTTTTATCTTTTTATCGCGTTTAACAATCATTTATTGCCCAACTGAGCAACTGGGTCCCCTTCAACCACTCGAAGACTTTAGTTTTCGAGATATTGATTAGAGAGCTTCGCATGGCTGATATACTATGCTATACTATGTACTTGTTTCCGCTGCTGCGGCCGTGTAAATCAATCCACTCCAACGGGCCCAAGTGGTTATATCGGCGCCCTGTCCCACACCCAATACAATACAATGCTAATCCTCAAAAATTATCTATTTATTATTGGCATAAACAAGACGGACATCGTCTGGGGGCTGTGGTTTTATCAGCCTTGCGTTTAGTGCCCAACCACTTTACTTTGGGTATCACTCTTGATCGTAAAATAAGATTTTGAACTTATTGCTAGTTAGATAACGCACTTAAACAACCGCAGCATGTGCCATGTGTGATATTGGGCCTCTCCAAGAACCACATCCACATCCACATTCACATCCCCCTAGTCACCATGGCCCAAAACACTCCCGATTTGAAGTAGCCTTATAGCTATCGTTTCGGTTTAGTTCGGTTGCTTACCAGCCATAAACTTTGCAGTTCGGGAAGATAATATAGTATCGATCGGTGGTGGACTTGTCGTAAATATTAAATACACCCCATGTTATTAATATATTGCCGGATCGTGACTGAACCAAAGACGTTGGGTTTTTTTTGTTTTGCTTTACTCTATAGAGGGGGTAAAGAAACTTTATGGAGGATTTCACTATTTATTTTGCCTAACTAATCCATTTTCCACAATGTTGGACTTTGAGTTTACCCTGCGTAATCTTTAATTTGCTTATTTCGATGTTATAAGCTTGCCAAAAGATTGTAAAAAGTGTGTTAATTGCCTAGAAACCAGAGAATATCTGAGTGGATAGTGTCATGCTCGAAGGGTAGTGATTTTTATAAATATGATTTTTTTGCATTTCTGTAGAAACGTTTTACTCAGATTAGAGATTTGTAATATTACCAGTAATTTATTTGGTAATATAACCTTAAAAGATCAAAATTGTTAACGGAAACATTTTTAAATTATTTTGTTATAATCTAAAAATACAATAAAGTAAGTCAAATGAATAATTTTTTAGAATTTCTAAATAAATTTAGGTACTACTTGTAGAACATGTATTTATGTTGTTTACTTTTCCGCTTAAAGCACACCTTAAAATGAATATATCTATAAATAAAACTTAAATCATTTATAAAATTAAACTGATAAATTAAAAAAACGACGACGACATTAGACATATACTTTTTATGTTACAAGGAAGTCATTTAAGGGAAATATTTTCCTTGTACTATAATAGTAGAGTAGGGACCATATTTAGGAACCCTTTTTAAACGCCACTTATTTAAGAAACCTATTCGAATTATCGAATTTATTGAAACCCTTCTAGAGTGTCCGCTTCTGGCCTAACCCAATCGATCGTTCTTATAGCTGTTTACGTATTGGAGTGAGCGCTTTATGGTCTCTTCATATTATATCAAACTTTGACTTTGAGCATATGAAATTTCATAAATACTTTTATTGGCCATTTGTGTTGACAATTCGTAATTTATGGCCGGCCAGAAGTCAGCAGCCAGTAGCCAGAAGCCAAAAGTCGCAAATAGACGTGGCAATCGGTTAAGCTGGACTAATCCCTGGCCATTTCGGCTCCGTGGAGACATTGGCAATGGATTTGTTTACGAAAATAGTTGGGGCGCGGAAAAGGGAGGTATCGGAATCTACGACCAGCTGGGTTGGTTTCTTGGTTTTTATCAGGTTGCACTACTACCACCAGCTCGACAATTCGATTCGATTCGATTCGACTAGTCAACTACTCGACTACTCGACTATTATGGCGTTTGGAGATAACAAATATTTATGAATGTTTGTGCGACGACATTGTCAAAATGAGGCAGCCCACTCCACGACAACGACAACGAACCTATTGGCGTTCTGATTCGATAAACATTTATCATAATCATAAAATAAAACTGTTTTCGAAATCGATCGCCTGCGATCCGATTGGTGGAAGCGTTTGGAGTGGGCGTGATCGTGATCGTGGCGGCGAGGGTGTTGGGCCCGAAACAAATCAAAAACGAGCCAAGGAAGATATCGCTGCAGTGCCCCCCACTTCGAAAACCCCCGATCCATTGGCGGGCCACTCTGATATCAGCGAAGATCACGGCGGGTCAGGCGCCCATTAAAATGCCCCTGTTTTATACACATGTGGCATACATTTAAGCAAACAACGATCGAGACGCGATGCTCGATTCAGACTTTTTGGGTACGGAGTGTCGGAGATCTCTTTCCTTATCAGCAGCATACACGGATTTATCACGTTTTCCGTGAACTTTAGACAGAGTTTATCTACGGGCGGGGTCCACAAATGGTTTATTGATTCGAGAGCATTCCGTTTTCATCGAATGGATGGATCTCTTTGTCTTGATCCACGGCCAGTCTTTATCTCAGGCGATGCGATGTGATGTCGATGCCATGTATCTGTGTTTCTGAGCTCAAATAGTATTGAATATTGACTGGCTGTCTCCCTATATGTAATCCGTATCTATCTGGCATCAGCCAGTGTTCATGTGTGTACTGTACCCGTGGAGCAATGTGTATTGCCCGGATTTTGATCTTTCGCCATGCGATCACTCGAATACGGTCGAATACGGACATGCCAAGGCGCAGATAGATAGATAGGCGAGACAAAACGATCCGTAATGACGACTACGGCAAATGATAGGGCACAATTGAGATTAAGCAACCGAGTTTGTCTGTTGCTGATCAGCGATTTAATAATGTATTTACATACAGCCGTGCATACGGGAATTATGTACGTTCGTTTGTGTAATAAAATTGTTATTGAGAACAAGTGATAATATTGTTTTTAACTAGATGTTGATGCTGCGAGGGACAGGCACAGTGGGCAGGGGACGAAGGGAAAGTGCTGATAAGCATTCGATTTAGATCAGCAAACAGTAATTAATCGCTGGAAGAAAAGTTCAAACTTAGTTCTCTGAATAGGGTTAAATACTACAAAAAATTTCTAATTTTTGCATGCTGAACAATTTTATCTATAATTTACAATCAATTTAATAAAAAAAAATGATTAATTCTTTAAAAAACCGATTTGAGTATTTATCCTATTTAAGTATTATATATTTCCTTAGTTACTGACTATCTCAATTTAAATTAGCCCATGTGTAAACAATAGTCAAAAAATCTCTTTAATTATTTAGAAAAAAAACATTTTATTACCCTCATTCTAAAATTAAATCTGGTGGTTTATTTTATTGTCAAATATGATTTGTTATCAAAAACTATTTAAATACTATTTGCTGTCTCACGAGTTGGGTAATGGGTAATTTGACATCTGGCCCCCACAATTGTAGACTATCTCAAAATTTTTGGAAAACGTTATTCAAATCCATGCCTTAAAGAAATTTGAGCTCGTTGAAATACTTTAAAAAAATTAACCTATTTAATAATATCACGTTTTAAGTTCTCAAAAGTCTCGTTAAAATACTTTGAAAAGAATAAACCGATTTTATTACTCTCCTGGTTCCCATCAAATATGAAAACTAATGTGGCCTGATCTCGAAACACCCTTGAGATAACAGATCCGCACCACTGTGAAGCGGAATCGGATTTGGATTTAGATTCGGATTCATATTCGGATTCGATTCCCGGACTGTTTCACAGCTTCTTAGGCCGTGTCGAAAGCACGCCGATGATATGTCAGGCTACTTATTTTATAATTATTGCTGTGCTACTGCGCTGCTGTTGTTGAGTTTATATTTAAGTTTTCAGATTTCTTATCATAGCTGTTTTTATGTATTGATTTAGTATTTGAGCGTTTCGATGATAACATCTCCACTACAAATGTGACCTCCTTTCCTACTGATGTTATTGTCGTTCCGAGTGTTTATGTAAACAAGCAAATTACGTTGAATACATTTTTTCGGAGGGAAAAATCATAAGAATTGTTTGGTAATCTGTCTGGAAACATTCCAAAAATTCCCCCAAAACAAATAAAATATTCGCAAATATATTGACAAACAGGTTTTAGGGTTTTTCCAAATTCCTTTGGTTAAAACGAACTTTTAAAGTTGAAAACTTGGAAAATTATCCTTATATTTAAAAATGTAATGATTGTTAAATTGTTTTGTTTTTCGATGAAAAAATTAATTATTTTTCTTTCATTTGCCTTATCTCTATCTATAGTTATACTCAAAGATGTGAGCTTCAACATTATGATGGAGCTGCTGGAGTTCATGTACCAAGGAGTGGTAAATGTTAAGCACACAGAGCTGCAGTCCTTCATGAAGATTGGCCAGCTGCTGCAGATCAAGGGTCTGGCCACCAACTCGAATTCCTCGCCGGGATCGAGTGCCTCCGAGAAGTCTTCTAGTCAGCCACCAGCCGAGGAATCAAATAATAGCAATACCAACAGCACCAACAACCATCACAATTCCAACTCTAATAGCAATAATAATAGCAAAACAGAAGCGGATCATAATGAATCCAAGGGACAGAGCAATTCGAGGACCACTTCGCCGGGTGGGGCGAGCAGAGCCTCCAACGAAGCCGGCAGCCACCTGTACACATCCAGCAAACGTCCGATGCCGTCGGATTTCGGCAGCGATTCCCTGTCCATCTACTCGGGAAAGCAGTTGAGGAGGTCACTCAAGGATCACGGCTCCGGCGGCAGCGAAGGCGGCGGCGGCGAGCATGCGGACAGTGCAGCGGGAATGGATGGCAGCCTGAATGCCGAGGAGTTCTTCCTGCCACCCATTCCGCACATCACGATGGGCGAACCGCGTTACGATCTCGGAGGTCTGAAACGTGAATCGGCGGATGGTCACCATCATGGTCCATCATCAGGCGGCGGCGGCGGCGGTGGTGGTGGTGGTGGTGGCGGAAGTTCGGGCAGCGTGGGCAGCCTCAACTCGTCGGCCTCCTCCTCTGCCCCCATCCGCAATCCCTTCGGACCGGCCTTCAATCTGGACAACTACAACTTCTACAAGAGCAGCAACAGCAGTGGGCCCAGCGGCAGTTCCAATAATTCCGGCGGTCCCGGAGGCATCAATAACAATGGATCCATTAGTCTGGCTCCTGGCACCGAGTTCCCCAATGAGCTGTACATGCCCAACGATTATTCCAAGAACTTTGCCAACCACATGGACATTCCCAATAGTAGGTGGCCTTCAATCTTTAATTACTTTTCTGTTGCATGCAGCTTGGCACTCATTTTCAATTTTTATTTTATGTTTTATAAGATTGGGTTTTTGTTTTGCATCCATCATTCGACTCACAAAAACATCTTCCACACTAGCCCACTGAACACATTGCCATTAACCAGGAATGACACTAAATGATTCTAGAGGGATATTTACTGATTTAACTGGGTTAAAAGTATTAAGCAGAAGCACTTGAACTGAAGGTATAGTTAGATAAACAATAGATATCTCTGATTGCCCAAGGGATCCAGTTGTTCAAACGACATGACAGACTGGTAGGCCACAAGACACATGTTTTGATAAAATTCTTGTTGAGGTTATTTTTATGTTGGAAAAAATGGTTGAATTAGAAAGGCATGTTATCTTAAGTGCCTTGTTTTGAAACTAAAATTGGTATACCCCTTTTATAACGCATTACAATCAAAAGTTTGCAACGCAGTGAGGAAGACATTTTGAGCTCTATAAAGCTTATACATTCTTGATCAGCATCAATTGTAACAGACCTATCTAAATAAAAGAGCAGGTATGACTATATCATAAAGCTTCTAGGAACAATCGCAAGAAAAAAGAAAAAATTACGTCTTTGTTGCTTTTAAATTCCAATTAATTCCGAGATTTTGTATTGGTAGTTAATTTATTTTAGAATTACGATATCTAATGCTGCCTTAGGAAGATCGAAAAATTCACCGAAAAATCGATATAGATTCATTGTTTTTAACATAATAAAAACATATAAAAGTCAAAATATAGTCTAGAATAAATATTTTTTTATAATAGCTTCAAGGGTATATCAGCTTTGGATTGCCTTTCTGTTTCTACTATTTTTCTTTTTAAAAACGATCAGGTATTAAAGTTGATTAATTTTCGTGACAGTTTTATACCATGTTTAATTACATTAGAGACACCTTTAGTAGTGCATTTTAGTTAACACACATACCTTGCTTCTAGTAGTTGCTTCTTAAAGTGACCAACACTAATTCTTCTAACGATTTACAAATCGCACAGTATCGAAAACACGCACACCCAATCACATATTCTAAGCGGAGGAGCCGCATGACTCCTCCCCCACTGTTTAATAGCTTGCCCCGCCCCTTTTCGCCTTTGTAAATAACCCCCTTTCGAGCGCTATCCAGCGAAGAACTGACCACTAATGATCCACCATTGTCCGGAGCAGGCGGCAGCAACATGGTGATGCTGTCCACCACCTCGCTGCTCCACGGCAACTGCGTGTTCAACCGCAACAACACGGTGGCCACGCAGCAGGGCATGAAGACCTACTGGCTGTGCAAGTCCTACCGGATCAGCATGTGCCGGGCGCGGTGCATCACCCACCTGGGCAGGATCATCTCCGCCACGGGCGTGCACAACCACACGCCGCACATGCGCGGCGGTCAGGGATCTTCAGCGGCAGCTGCAACGTCCTCGGTTTCGGGGACTCCCTCGGGCTCCAATCCAATTGCCAGCCAGGCGGCGGGTTACTCTCTAACGGATGGTGGTGGTGGCCATCACCTGGGCACGGATTTGCAGCATGGAGTGAGCAATCGAGTGAGCAACATGTTTGCCAATCAAACGCCTCCACCTCCGCCGCCGCCGCCACCTTCAATGCCAGTGACATCGACGCCGCACCACCCGCACCATCATCATCATCACCAGCTGGGACAGCCGCTGCCGAATCTCCTGGTGCAGCATCACCCGGCGCCACCGCCGCACATGGATCAGCATGGCGGCGCGGCGGCCAATCTCATGCACAATCCGAATCTGATGCACCTGCAGACGCAGCAGCAACACCACCACCTCCAGCAACACTCGCCGCACAATCCACCGCCATCGCAGCAGCAGCACAGTCTGGAACTGGGAGGTGGCTCGGTATCGGGATCGGGAGCAGTGCTCCTTTCGCCGGCGCACCTGCAGCAGAGTCCGCAGTCCAACCGCAGCAGCCACTCCCTCCAGGCGCTTAGTCCTCCACCACCGCCACAAACTGTGGAGGAGCAGCATCAGCAAACACACCAGCAGCAGCAGCAACAACAGGAGGGAGCCAGCACGGATGGGGGATCCACGGATGCCAGCACAGCGCACGTGATCAACAACATAACCATATCCCCGAGCAGCAGGCACAGCTTCAAGATGGAGAACATGTAAGGCTGTCGGGGAACAGGGATTCCCCTCGCTGCACACTGCCCCCCAAAAACCGAGGAGTAATTTATTATTATTTTTGACTAGCTAGAGTTTGTAGTAGACAATTGAATTTGATTCGAAAACCAGAGAGAGAGAGGAGTAACCAATGTAAATACCCCTACCGATGTGCATAATCTATTTGATAAACTAATGCGAAACGATAAACCAAAAAGTACTGTAATGGGCGCTGTGAAATGAATCCCAGATTAAGCTAATCAGAGTAATTTTGGATATGTTTCGTGGCCCTGTGCGTATATCAATGGGTATTCCAAATGGCCTACACACTAACGAATTACAAATAGGTTCTACATTCATAGCATACAATTAATTGCATTTTGGATCTGATGTTATATGATATCTATATCAGGTATTATGATAACCTATAATATAAAGTATACTATTATTTAAAAATATAATATCTGGTTTAATATGATAATGAATTATAGTATCATAAGTGTAATATATTATAATCATTTATAATATCAGGTCCAAAAATATTTATAAGATAGAATTAAAAGCATTTTGGAGCTGATATTACAATATGATAAGATATATCAAGTGCAATGGGATCGTGCTATATAAAACCAGGTAAGTACCTTGCATGACACACATAAACACACACATAATTGGGCTCATTCGTGTATGTCCTGGCATCCAAAATGAAAAACATAACCAACCAACCGAGGGAACAGAATAAGAGCCGTACAGATCCTCACCAGCCTTCTCCGTCCTTCTAGTCCCACCCGGTGAGCACTGGTTCCAGGGCAAGCTGGAGTTCATGCTGAGCCAGCGGGGCAAGCCGCTGCTGGTCCACGACGGGCACACCTTCGGCATCCAGTACGTGCGCAAGGACAAGAAGTACTGGCAGTGCAACCTGTCGCGCAAGTTCAACTGCAAGGCGCGCGTGACCACCACGGACACCGGCGACATCATCGTGACCAACAACGAGCACTGCCACACGGAGATCCGCCAGCATCTGCGCAAGGACTACCAGCGCAACAAGGCGATGATGAACACCCTGATCAACCTGAGCACGAATCGGATGCACCACAACATGGGCGGGCTGGGCGCCCTGCCCATGGTGCCGGAGGTCCTGGCCCAGGGCTCGCCCATCCACGAGATGGTCCAGAATCTGCACGACATGGTGGCCAAGGCAGCATCGGCGGAGCAGCAGCAGCAGCATCTTCATCAGCAACAGCAGCAGCCTCTGGACTGCGGACTCCGATCCTCGGCGGCGCTGGAGGAGATGGCCCGCACCTTCATGGCCAACAGCAAGCCATCGATCGCCTTTCCGGGCAGCGAATCCGGCCACAGCCATGCCCACGATCCCAAAGAGGAGCCGTCGGGCGATGCTTAGGCGTAGGCCACGGCGTAGGCAAACAGCAGGTGAAACGAGACAGTTAAGTACAAAACATGGAATGATTGCAATAATACTCAAATACACTAAAGACAAAGGCGTGACCAAAACAATTCCAAAGAATTTAGTTAATACATAAGCGAACGTACAATCCAAACTAGAGCATTTCCATGAGTTTTTTATATATCGTTTTTATTGTTGTACGTTGCGTTAGCTTTACACTGTGTAATAAAATGTTGAATTTGAATAAACCTTTTTATATATGAAGAACTACATTAGATGTTTATCACGCGGCTCAGCTTCTGGATGCGGTTGAGCAGCAGATCGCCCTGCTTGATGGTGGCCTGGTACTGCCAGTTCTTGTTGTCCGGCCGATTGGTCTCCACGATGCCGCCCACGCGATCCACCTTGGCATGCAGCCGTCCGGCGGCGATGAAGCGGGCCAGTTCCTGGTCGATGTAGTCCACGGTGACGCCGAACGACTCGGCCATGTACTGCAGGGTAAGGGAGCGGTACGACTCCAGCAGCTGGGTGTAGCCCAGGATGCGCATCTCGCGCACATAGTAGCGGTAGTGGGGATGGATGAGGTAGTCCGAGCGCAGCTGCTTCTCCACGCCGGCCAAATGCACGTAGAAGTTCTCGTACTGGCAGTTGTACAGGGCGAACAGGAACTGCTTGACATCGGGCAGGCCGTGGAGCACCTCCTGGATCTCGGAGCCCTTGATCACCTTGTCGCGCAGCTCATTGCGCGGCAGGGCGATCATCGCGACGTACACGGTGTAGCGCACAAAGGTGGGGTAGTCCATCAGCTCGTAGGAGGTGAAGGTGCTCACGGTGTCAAGGAAGAAGGTTGCCGCCGCCTTGAAATCGCGCACTGCCACCGAGTAGACGCCCTGGTAGACCTTCAGGCGATTACGCCGGTCCCAGTCGCCACCTTCCTCTATTAAATACTTGGCCTTGTCAATATTCCGCGTGATGAGATCGTGATCCAGGTAGAAAAGCCCCAGGCGGATCAAATGGAACACAATGTCCAGGCGGTGACCCAGCGATACGGTTTTCTCGTAGGTCTTGCGGAAGGCTGTCTCCGCCGCAGTCTTGTCGCCAATGCGGCACAAGTACTCCGACTTCTTAAGGTTCGCCTCGCGCACCTCCATCTCGCCCAGATTCTTCTCCGCATCCTCGATGGCCGCGTCCAGCTGCTCCACCTCGACGCGGTTGTTCTCCTTCATGCGTGCCAGCAGATCCTTGTCCACGACCCAGCCGAGTTCCGTGCAGATGTGCTCGTACCACGGAGCCATGTTCTCCGTGCGAATCGCCTCAAGGAGCTTCGCCTTCAGAGGCGCATCCTGCTTGTACTCCGCCAGGGTGAGCAGGAATTTGGTCTGCGCCAGCTCCAGGTTCGGGTTCTTCTCCAGGCCCTGCTCCTCCAGATTTTCGGCAGGCATTGTGATCGGATTGTGGCCGTAGCTTCGTTTAGCACAGAGAAATTGTTAATTTTCCCGAACAAAATGAGATTTTGTTTTTGTCAAAGCCGCACAGTCATGTACGACGTTAAGTTGGTTGTGCTGGTGGCGTTGCCAGACTTGGCCGGACTTATCGATTGCTTTGGAAACTGCTAAATCTTTTTCACACTGCTTCTTAAAATCGGATCAACGCAAAAGTTTATGCAGCCATTTAGACGAAGCGAGCTTAATGCGAAATCCTTTTAAGACAAATAAAACTTTTTAGTGACTTCACAAGCTATACATTTTTTAGCAAACAAATTTTTTACAAAAAATACACAGAGCAATATATATAAAATAATAATATATTACTACAAATTTTACAATTATCAAACGCGTCTTTAATTACTTTTACAATTCATATTTTTTTTTTTTCATTTTAACAACCAGACACACTTTTTTTATTTATACGATTTTACAATGAGTTTAATTGGATTAACTTGAATTCTGGATAAAAGTTTTTTAACAGAGGGTCATATAAACTTCAATTTTTGTATATGTTCCTAAACTGTACAATGGACTCCATACTGAGTTCAATATTATTTTTGACTTCCTCACAAGATTAAAAACCTGTCTAACCAAACGTTGTTTTAAGTTTTGAATTGTATGTGGATTTAAAATTTTATTACATTCTAGCTCTAGCTCACAAATAAATTTTCTTCCCGTAAGTTATTTAACATAATTATTTTTATTAATTTTAAGCCCAATGTTCTTAAGATAAATAAATAAAAAATTAAGATAAACAAAAAAGGGCAGTGTCATAAGCGCATAGCGATATAACCGTGTGACCATATAATTTTTTGGTACTTATTGTACCACGAACGGCCACACTAAAGGGGAGTGAAATTGATTTTCTGATAAAAATTTTCGCTTGGAGCTCTTTGCGAATCCTTCGGTGGCAAATATCCCGTTCAGGCTCGAAACAGGTGGATCGACTCAGAGTAACCAGCAGCAGACAGCGCACAAGATGATCGGCGGCCTGTTCGTCTACAACCACAAGGGCGAGGTGCTAATCTCGCGAGTCTACCGCGACGACATCGGTCGCAATGCCGTGGACGCCTTCCGGGTCAACGTCATCCACGCCCGCCAGCAGGTCCGCTCGCCAGTGACCAACATAGCGCGGACCAGCTTCTTCCACATTAAGGTGGGTTGGTGGCTCCAGTGCTCGCAGTTCCCTCCCTCTTATCATCCAAAATCTCTTTCCACAGCGGGCCAACATTTGGCTGGCGGCTGTGACCAAGCAGAATGTGAACGCCGCCATGGTGTTCGAGTTTCTGCTAAAGATCATCGAGGTGATGCAGTCGTACTTTGGCAAGATCTCCGAGGAGAACATCAAGAACAACTTTGTGCTCATCTACGAGCTGCTGGACGAGATCCTCGACTTTGGCTACCCACAGAACACGGACTCCGGCACCCTGAAGACATTCATCACGCAGCAGGGCATCAAGTCGGCCACCAAGGAGGAGCAGATGCAGATCACCTCGCAGGTCACCGGTCAGATTGGCTGGCGTCGCGAGGGCATCAAGTACCGGCGCAACGAGCTATTCCTGGACGTCCTGGAGTACGTAAACCTGCTGATGAGTCCACAGGGTCAGGTTCTGTCCGCCCATGTGGCCGGCAAGGTGGTGATGAAGTCGTATTTGTCGGGTAGGTAACATCATCATCATCATCTGGCTGCCAGTACCATTAACAATCCCATCCCAAAGGCATGCCCGAGTGCAAGTTCGGCATCAACGACAAGATCGTGATGGAGTCCAAGGGACGCGGCCTCTCCGGCAATTCGGAGGCCGAAACCTCCCGCTCCGGCAAGCCCGTGGTGGTCATCGATGACTGCCAGTTCCATCAGTGCGTCAAGCTGAGCAAATTCGAGACGGAGCACTCGATCAGCTTCATCCCGCCGGACGGGGAGTTCGAGCTGATGCGCTACCGCACCACCAAAGACATTTCGCTGCCATTCCGAGTCATTCCGCTGGTGCGCGAGGTGGGGCGCACCAAGATGGAGGTCAAGGTGGTGCTCAAATCAAACTTCAAGCCCTCGCTGCTGGGCCAGAAGATCGAGGTAAAGATCCCCACGCCGCTGAACACCTCGGGCGTGCAGCTGATCTGCCTGAAGGGCAAGGCCAAGTACAAGGCCTCGGAAAACGCGATCGTGTGGAAGATCAAACGCATGGCGGGCATGAAAGAGACACAACTCTCCGCGGAGATCGAGCTGCTCGAGACGGACACCAAGAAGAAGTGGACCCGGCCGCCCATCTCCATGAACTTCGAGGTGCCGTTCGCGCCATCCGGCTTCAAGGTGCGCTACCTCAAGGTGTTCGAGCCCAAGCTAAACTACTCCGACCACGACGTGGTCAAATGGGTGCGTTACATCGGACGCAGCGGACTCTACGAGACGCGCTGCTAAACCATCGCCATTACGGAGCAAGAGTGTCACAGTTGAATTTAACGAAACGAAACAAATGGAAACCGTGTTACCGCATCTATTGGTATTTCCTCAATCAAATTGAACCAGCAGTTAATGTATTCCAAGATTAGTTCCAGCAAGTCGGCCGGAGCAGGCCCGAGTAGCGGGTCCACCAGCCCGGACACCATATGCCGTATACCGCACACACTGCCTCCGCGAGCACTGGTTATGCGGGCGGGGCGTGTTCTGTTCCCTATAGACATACCACTAGGTACTACACTATGATTTACCCCTACTATGTAATTGTAAACTATGTTGTTTTTATATATGCGTCGCGGGACGCCTCTCAAATCTCACGCTCACGTTTTCACAACCCCAATTATTATTTGTATTATCGTATTATAAATATATATATATATATTAATCATTATTTTCATTGTGCAAAGAACAAAGGCGATAAATGCAACTAAGCGTATTTAATAGACCAAAACTCTCTGTCAGCGCTATCAATATTGATATTCAAGTGTTAATAATATTCGAATTGTTTAATAAATTAGCATGATATATACTAAATGGGATCTATGTTTTCTCTCGTGGCACTATTATCTATTAAAATTGAAGGATTACGAAACTTTCTAAAATATAGTTCTGATAGATTGATGGCCCTAAGGTAATATAAACAATAAGGTTACAATTACACCCCCATAAATGAACAGTATATGACTTTATGATAGCCACAAGTGCTGTCTTTCATATCAGGTGTGCACATTGGTTAAAAGTCGGCCCATTTTGGAATGTTCTGAGGCATAAAAACATGTACTTTATAAGGAATTGTATTTTCTACATATGGGTAAAAACTTGTTTCAAGCTATGACTCATCATAGTTATTTATTTTAGTGATCTTTGCGTTTGTGGTAAACAACAAAAAAATGCCTAAATAATGCCAGTTCGCATAAAAGCTTTGCTATCGTTGAAGGGCTTTTCACAATTTTCCATCGAAGGCAAATCAATGTGGAAGCACTGACCAATCAGTTTTTTATTCCACTGTCTATAAAACTATTATTTATAAGTGGTTAGCTGTTGCCAGCGCCGGATAACCTTGAGTGACTTCAACACTCAGATATTAATTAATTGGACTGGAAATTTTTATAAAACCGCAAGACATCCGCTGTGTTATAGCGAAGCTTTAGCTTTGTTATCAGCTATCACCCAGTCGGTTGGCTTGGTCATCATCATCAGTGATAAGAGCTCGACAAAGTAATAGTATCGTCCATCTTTTTCGGCTGACACGTTACACGTAACATGGATGACATAGTTCCGGATGTGGTGGATGCGGTTCCCGCTGGCACCGTGCAGGTCACCTACGGCGATGACCTTCAGGTGAGACAGGGCAACGAGCTGACCCCCACCCAGGTGAAGAATGTGCCGAATGTCAGCTGGTCTGGGCTCGAGGGCAGGTCCAATTTGATCACCCTGCTTATGGTGGATCCCGATGCGCCGACTCGCCAGGATCCCAAGTTCCGTGAGATCCTGCACTGGGCTGTGGTCAACATTCCGGGCAGCAACATCGATCCATCCGGTGGTCATCCCCTGGCAGCCTATGTGGGTTCCGGTCCGCCGCAGGGCACTGGCTTGCATCGCTACATTTTCCTGCTCTACCGCCAGGAGAACAAGATCGAGGAAACGCCCACCATTTCCAATACGTAAGATATACATATATTAATACCATATTTATCAGACGAAAGTAATGCTGACTTCATAACTTTTAGCACTCGTGCTGGTCGCTTGAACTTCAATGCTCGGGATTTCGCCGCCAAGCATGGATTGGGTGCACCCATTGCCGCCAATTATTACCAGGCCCAGTTCGATGACTATGTTCTCGAACGGAACAAAACATTCACCGGCTAGATTTGTGCAAACATCATGCCGGACTTTCGCTTTGCGAGTCAATAAAGTCTAACCAATCGCTTATCTCTCTATCTATGCGTTGGGGTATTAAGCGAAAAGTGCACGGAACTGATTAGGCCACGGACTCCGGCGGCGATATAAGGCCGGGCACTGGGTATCCGGGCCAGAGTCACCTCGCTAACGCCACAACGAGCACAACTAGCCAACATGGACACCGCCGGCATCATTCCCGACATCATCGACGTCAAGCCCGCCACGAAGGCCACCATCACCTATCCTTCAGGTGTTCAGGTTGAGCTGGGCAAGGAGCTGACTCCCACGCAGGTGAAGGACCAGCCGACGGTTGTGTTCGATGCCGATGCAGGATCGCTGTACACCATCATGCTGGTGGATCCCGATGCACCCAGCCGCGAGGACCCCAAGTTCCGCGAGCTGCTCCACTGGCTGGTGATCAACATTCCCGGCAACAAGGTGTCCGAGGGCCAGACTATCGCCGAGTACATCGGAGCCGGTCCCCGCGAGGGCACCGGTCTGCACCGCTACGTCTTCCTGGTGTTCAAGCAGAACGAGAAGATCACCACCGAGAAGTTCGTGTCCAAGACCAGCCGCACCGGCCGCATCAACGTCAAGGCCCGTGACTACATCCAGAAGTACAGCTTCGGCGGCCCCGTCGCCGGCAACTTCTTCCAGGCCCAGTACGATGACTACGTGAAGACCCTCATCGAGACGGTCCAGTAATCTGGCCACCAACTGATCAGCTCTCTGTGAAATAATAAATTTTAAATACTAGTTTTCATACAAACTAAGCTTTTTACCTTGGTGGTGGGTGGAGTTAAAATCTATAGGATTACAAATTTCCTATGATGATGTCAACATGTCTGGTTTTTTCGTTTATAACCTTTATTAGATAATAGTCCTGAATTAATTTCGCCTTGTCCGTTATCTAACATTCGATTTTGCTGAGAACTTTAGACTGTTAGTAATTCTTTTACGATATATAATATATATAATTTATAAATTTATTTATCACTCTGTAGGCCTTCAGTTATTCTTCGGCAGTTGTCACTTTCCTTTTATTACTTAAAAGATATGGTTATCCTCAATTAATTTCGACATGATTCATACAATAGATAAACAATTTTCTTTAGTTTAGATATGAATTTGATTCATCAAAACTATCAGTTTCTTCTTTGAAATATATTGGACCCTTGGACCCTATTTCCTATTACAGTCGAAATCAGATAACTCGAATCACTATCTACCAAAAGAGAGGTTGACTTATAAAACACTTTTAGATCAATAGAAGTGCATTATCAATATATGATTTTACCATTAAAGAAATAAAGTTAAATAGTTTTGACTGTTTAAAGAAAGTAGTTAGTCTAATCCTTTTTGTTAAAGAAATCGGCTACCAGTTTGTTGAACTCCTCCGCATAACGTAGGTGGATATTGTGCTTGCCCTCGGGGAACTCATGGTATTTGGCCTGGGGCAACTTCTCTATTAGCCAGGGAATGTGCTCCGCTGCGATCATGGGATCCTTCTTTCCGTGCAGTATAAAAGTGGGAGCCTTTATTTGTTCCACTTCAGATCGACAAAAATCCCCGTCCTTTTGATCGTAGAAGGAGCAGGCGGCGTCCACCCATTCGGCCCACAGTTGGGGGAACCTCTCCACGCCGTACACCTTCTCCATGGGCTCCCGCATGCGGGGCGACCATTTGGCCACATCGCGGATGTTCTTGAGGGCCTTGACTTCGTCGGCGTTAAGGTAGGCACCTGCTCCCCAGATGGCCAGGCGCTCCACTGCGTCGGCATGGCGACCAGCTACGATGAGGGCCGTGATGCCTCCATCGCTCCAGCCCAGAATGGAGAATCTTGGCCTGTCCAGGGCCCGCATCAAGTCCACGGCTGCCTGGGCATCCTGCTGGAAGAAATCCAGTCCGAACTTGCGTTGCGGGGGCACTGATTTCCCATAACCCGGCGGATCCCAGGCAATGATCGTGTGATCCGGTAGAAGTTTCGGCAACTGCTCGATCTGGGGCTTAAAGTCGGTCCAGGCGGAACCCAGGGCTCCGGGCATCAGGAGCAGACTCCGCTTTCCGCTGCCGCTCTCCACAATGTTCAGATCGGCCCCATTAACCCGGACTTTCCGCTCCGTGTGCACAAATCGCTTGATTAAGGGCGAACCCAATCGTCTGCTCAGATTGGCCAGCATTACGTAAGCGGGGATCGATTGGGGATTTTTTGAGTATGGCAGCAAACTTGGTGGCTTCTCGAGTGCACTTCAGATATGTCCAGCAAATGGTTTGCAGCTTGTCCAAATCTTTACACACGACGCCTTGTAAAGTGCACTTTTTGTTTCCGCTGATAACAGCTGATTGATAAGAACAGCTGTAGGTAAACGATCGGATTAGTGTGGCTGCACATGCGGCAACGCAATATTCCACTTGGCCAAAAACTTTTAAAGTCTTAATCACTGTTATTTTTTTGGATATTCTTTTTTAATAAAACCAGAAAGTTTTTCTAAGCAAGTTTAATAGAAATTAACAGAAAATCAAGGCATAAACTTTTTAAAAATTTAATTTTGTCGATGGTTATGGTTCGAATTTATTATTGACAATGTGTTGAAACAATTGTTTTTGTATTTATAAACTTTTACAAAAAGCTAAAAAAAAAGGGTAGAATTTTTAAAAAATATAAGAAGTTATTAAGCCCTTGAAAGTTTTGGGGCTGCCTGACTGCCAAAAGGTGCAAGCCGCCTAATTTAAATTAAAGCTTTTTGCTTTTCTCTCAGCTTTTGGCATTCCCAGTCCTTGTTAGTCCTCTTGAACGTCACAGCGCCGAAGGACAATGGACAGCACGTGCTGGCATTTGTTTAGTTCTTAGCGCGTGTTAAAAAATTATTAAAAAATGTAAGTCCTGGGGAATAGTCCCCGAAGTAATGGTCAGTGCGTGATTGGTGTGCTCAAGTTAATGAGCTGGCTAGGACGATTAATGTTGGCGACGGCCTTGCAATTGTTCTCCTGGAGGAAGTAGATGGGGAGGAGTGGGAGGCACACCCACACTCATACAATGAGGTTACAGAAACAAACATTCCATTGCCAATGCAAATGCAAATCGAATTCGACACCGATTCGTCGAAGTTGCGTAGTAAATGTCAAGGAATTTACACGGGTCGCCTCAGAGATAGTGAGTGTGTATGAGTGTGTGGGTGGCAGAGTGTGTGACCACAGGACACCCACTCAACGAGTATGTGTGTGTATCCGTGTGGGAATCTAACACATATTAGTGGTGCAGGTTATGAACCTGCGTGCTCTGCGCTCATTACGCATGTGTGAGTGGGCAGCTGGTGTACATATGTGTGTGGGTTTGTGTGCGTGTGAGTGTGTTAGTAGTACGCATATGCATGCCTCGTGCGAAGTAAGCGAGCTTTTAATTTTTGGCATTCCCATACACTACGCAAAAGGTGAAGGGTTCGTTTATTGTTCATAGCATACCTTTTGGGGCAAAACCAAGAACATCAAAGTAAAAGTTGAATTTATTCAATTTCTTTTGCTGTAAACCTTGCTAACTTACTTAAAAGTAAAATAAGCATTACTCCATCCCCAAACACCCACCCATTACAGCGCCCTTTGGACAGTCGTCTAGGCCGAGCCAATTGCTTTTTGTGAATAAGCTGGCGGAGCTTTCGTTATCCGTTGGAAACAGTGCGAAGAAATTAAGTTTGAAATTGCAGTTCAGTCTTGTCGTGAATGCAGCGTGGATCGATATCGGAGCTCAGAGCAGCGGAAGGCGCTGTTTAGCAAATTTCGACACACAAAATTTTTCTACCCCTCAAAATTGAACCGAAAAATCAGCAAGAATTACTTTTCCCCACTTAAAACGAATAAGCGCCGTGCCACAAGCCAGTCCAAATCGTTACATAAAGAAAAGCAACCAAATACCACGGAATACAAATTGTGTAATTGAACAGAGATCAAAGTGTGTGCAAAAAATGAAACGTACCCAATCAATAAATCAATCGATACGCATAAATAACTGATTAGCTGGCTGTGGAAGAAAGTCAAGAAAGTGCCCTTTTTGGGGGCATTTGGTGTGTGAGGTGCTTAGAAAATTTTTCGCCACATGCAGTGAAAAATTTTTCCGAATTTTAGTATGTACATGTACGTTGAAGCGCTCGTGAGCGCCACGAAATCGGGTGGCAGGGGTATCCGGCGAGCTTTTGGCCAGACCATGGCCCCCCGAATTGGCAGTACAGCCGCCGCTGTCCGAGTAACGGTTGTCTGACCCCGTACCAATGCGAAATATGTGCCCGTTTTTAATTAGTTTGCCAAACATTATGCAAATCAAGTGTACGAAATGTCAAAAACTCAAGGTGCCCATCATTAAGGACCAAGAAACCAGTCGAAATTACAAGCATAAATCAGTGCAGTGAAGTTAACAGTGGAATAGTACCGTAAACAGTCCTGTTAGCTCCCCAAACGAGCTTTCACTCTCCCGCGCTCTCCCACTCTCTTTTTGGCAGGCGCGGATAAAACGGATTCTCGACTCTAACACCAACGCAAGGACACGCGGAAAGCTCGCGCTCAAGGACTGGAATACGCGAGAAGTGATAGAGTGTTAGAGAGAGAGAGAGAGAGAGAGTGCCACTTTACGTTTACGCGCGCAACGTGCGTAGGTGCCTCTGTGAGGGTGAGCAGCCTGTGAGTGTGAATGAAGGCGCCACATAGTGCAACATATCAGAATAACAACTATGCTCCCGCGGCCATGACAGCCACCATGGACAGGGATCATCAGCAGCAGCAGGAGCTGAGGCTCCTGCCCGCCCAGCGCAGCAACGGCCACGCCTCCCCCTCCAGCACCTCCGCCTCCGCCTTCGCCTCCCCGGACTTGCGGTTCAACAAGGCCCGTCGTCGGCGGAGAAGCGAGCAAGTGCCTCCCGTGATCGTGGAATACCGTCGCTCATACCGCGTGCTCATCGTCAGCGCCCTGCTGGTCAGCTTGGCGGCCAGTTTCGTGACCCTCAGCGCCGGCTTCCAGTTGGACGGATCCCAGAACTCCTTCTACACGTTCCGCAAGTGGTACACTGGGCTGAATGGCACGCTCGAGCTGGAGTTCAAGACGGAGCAGCCGAACGGATTGGTCCTCTACACCGACGACGGTGGCACCTACGACTTCTTCGAACTGAAGCTGGTGGAAGGAGCCCTCCGATTGAGATACAACCTGGGCGGTGGAGCCCAGATCATCACCGTGGGCAGGGAGTTGCACGATGGCCACTGGCACAAGGTGCAGGTCCTGCGGAACGACGAGCAGACCTCGCTCATCGTCGACGGAGTCTCGCAGCAGCGGTCCACCAAGGGCAAGGAGTTCCAGTTCGGCAAGTTCGCCAGCAACTCGGACGTCTATGTGGGCGGCATGCCCAACTGGTACAGCAGCAAGCTGGCCCTGCTCGCCCTGCCCAGCGTCATCTTCGAGCCGCGTTTCCGGGGCGCCATCCGGAACCTGGTCTATGCGGATCAGCCAGGCGGCTCCACCAGGCGTCAGGAGATCAAGCAGCAGCGGGACATCAAGTGCGGCGATGTGCCCTGCGACCACGGCGAACTGCCCGCCCGCGAAAGACCCCTCAGGGTGAGTCCTTTGCACTCAAGTTCTTAATTTGGCTCAATATTATCCTAACGATACTTTGATATCTGATATTTTAATTATAAAAAAAGATAAGGTTAAAATTAGCGAGTCTTTTTAAAAACATTGTTCAGATTAGCAATATAAGGTTAACAAATCGAAAATTTCAGTAAAGTTTCACCAAAAACATTAATTTTACCTATTTGATAATTAATTTTACCTATTTGAAAATTAATTTTACCATTAGATTTAAACATCTTCCTCATCGAAATCAATTTTACTGCTTTTGTAAATGTATCCTTATATACTGTTCTTGTCGCAAGTATCACTTAATATCATTAAAAAATAAAATCTTTTAAATTTGATAGGTGTCTTAAATATTAAACTGTATAATATTTATATGCTCCCCGCATTATTATTACACTGATTAAATAGCCATAAGTATGGGCAACCTTTGAATGGTTATCAAACATAAAATAGATAAAATCAGTCAATTCTCTACATGTTTACATTACACAAGAAAACGATTAAGAAACATTTGTTAATAAATACGTTCCAGACACCGTTGAAATTAAAAAATCTCTAAGCCCATTAACCTGAATGAGTCAATAAAATGTATACCACATCATTTGTAATTTATCCTGTAGGGCGTTCGTGGCAACACTACCGATGCCTGCGAGCGGAACGATCCGTGCCAGCACGGCGGCATCTGCATCTCCACTGATTCCGGTCCAATTTGCGAGTGTCGAAACCTCGAGTACGATGGCCAGTATTGTGAGAAGGAGAAGGCGCCATCGGAAGCAACGTTCCGCGGTACACAGTTCCTCTCGTACGACTTGGGCCAGACGGGCGCCGAGCCGATAGTGAGTGCCCAGGATGCCATATCCTTCTACTTCCGCACGCGCCAGCCCAATGGCCTCTTGTTCTACACGGGCCACGGCACGGACTATCTGAATCTGGCGCTGCGGGATGGAGGCGTCTCGTTGACCATGGGTTTGGCCAATGGCAAGCAGGAGATGCACATCAAACCGTCGAAGGTGCGCTTCGATGATCACCAGTGGCACAAGGTCACCGTGCACCGTCGCATCCAGGAGATCTCCTCCATCACCAGCTTTTGTAGGGTGGGTGTCTATGAGGTTTTAATTGGTATTCGGTGGTAAAGGGGATTTTTTTTATTCCCCAGTTGGTCACTGTGGTGGACGATGTGTACACGGATCACTCGCACATCGCCGGCAAGTTCACCATGCTCTCCTCCTCGCGGGTTTATGTGGGTGGTGCCGTCAATCCCAGGGCTCTTTTGGGCGCCCGTGTCCACACCAACTTCGTGGGCTGCCTGCGCAAAGTGGAGTTCTCGGCGGATACGTTGAATCTGAACCTCATAGACCTGGCCAAGAGTGGATCTAAACTCATCCAGGTGGCTGGCAATCTGGAGTACCAGTGCCCCAGTGGCGACCCACAGGATCCCGTGACCTTTACCACACGCGAATCGCATTTGGTAAGCTATAACCTCTTTGAAAATGTACGAACTTTATTAATAAATATTTTTTCTATTTTTATAAAGGTTCTGCCTCCTTGGGAAACTGGCAAACAGAGTTCTATAAGCTTCAAGTTCCGAACCAAGGAACCCAATGGCATCATTGTCCTGGCTACAGGATCCAAGCAGCCAAGAGCCAAGAATGTGAGTTGACTTACTAAGTTGTTCTCTAGGTGTTTAATTAACTCGCTTATCCTTCAGCCCGTCTTGATTGCTATCGAGCTGCTGAATGGCCACATCTACATCCATTTGGACCTCGGATCCGGGGCCTCCAAGGTGCGAGCCTCGCGACGTCGCGTGGACGATGGCGACTGGCATGACCTGATTCTGCGGCGGAATGGACGCGACGCCAAGGTGAGCGTGGATGGCGTTTGGAACGACTTCCGGACGCCCGGCGACGGCACCATCCTCGAGCTGGACGGGCACATGTACCTGGGCGGAGTGGGACCCGCCTACAATAGCGTGGCCTGGCCGGCGGCCATTTGGACGGCCACTTTGCGCCAGGGATTCGTGGGCTGCTTGCGTGACCTGGTGCTAAGTGGCAAGGCAATCGATATAGCGGCCTTTGCACGCGTCCAGGATTCGGGTGAGTACTAGTCACGAGGCCAGCGATAAGGATAATCCTTAACCCGTAACCCACTTGGGAAGCAGCCTCCGTGAAGCCATCGTGCCACGTGCAAGCCAACGTGTGCAATGGCAATCCTTGCCTGAACGGAGGCACCTGCCTGGAGGGCTGGAACCGACCCATCTGCGACTGCTCGGCCACCTTGTACGGCGGACCCACCTGCGGCCGGGAACTGGCCACGCTGGCCTTCAACGGCAGCCAGCACATGACCATCTGGTTGGGCAACGGACAGGGCACCAAGACGCAGACCGAGGAGCTGGTGATCCGCTTCAAGACCTCCCGTCCGGCGGGACTCCTGCTGTTGACCAGCGCCGAGTCCAACTCCCCGGACCGGCTGGAGATCGCTCTGGTGGCGGGAAGGGTGCGGGCCAGTGTGCGGCTGAGCGACCGCGAGAAGGTGAGTCAATCAGGAGGAGGTTCTCGAACTGACCACATTCGTCCTTGACTGTCGAAAATCGCCTTTAACTTTCCGCACTGGGTAAAAACTACTTCCTAAGAAGTTTTAAAATTTTCTATTGTTTTTTACGTAAGAAAATGTGTAAGATGTGTTCATAAGAATTTTTTTCATATTCTATTCTCTTGAGAGTTATAGGTAAAGTTAGGAAAATACATTTAAAAATATTTTATTAGGAGTATTATCAAATGACAACGCCTGATAGCTATTTCAAATCATTATTTTAAGCATATTTTAGATACTTAAGAATATTTAAAATTTAATTAGGTGTAGGTTTATTTCTATAAAATATCAGAGCTTGATTGCCATTTTAAACCATTGTTTAAAGTATATTTTTGAAGATGTTAAATGTACAAAATATAAATGGTTTAGGTACTTAAGAATATACTAAATTGTATTAGGTGTATGTTTATTTGTATATTTTAAAATATTATTTAAAAAATATTTAAGAACATGTACATTTTACAAAGTATAAATGATTTTAGGTCGAATTCTAAATTCTTTATAAAAGAGATTTTTTATACTGTTGGTCTATGTGGCTAAATTTTGAAATTTGTATTGTAAAGGTAGGCTTGTGACATAATTTTTTTTTCATTTTTATTATTGAGAAATTCATATTTGGTGGAGATAAACTGTTTAAGTTTCCAAGCACGTTCCGTTTAGTCAAGGCCGCTGAAAGGTTAAAGGCGATTTTCTCAGGCTTCGGGACAGTTTGATGAGCGTGTGCTAATCCCTTGCAGAACCTGCTGGCCGGCCAGTCGGTGCTCAACGACAACAACTGGCACACGATCCGGTTTTCGCGCAGAGCCTCCAATCTGCGGCTACAAGTCGACGGGGCTCCCCCCGTCAGGGGTATGTTATGTATGTATCAACAGCACATCTATGCCCTACTACGTGTCGTGCCGTGTCGTTTTTTTTTACCAAACCAACTAAACCAAGTAAACCAACCAATCAATCGACAACCTACCTAAGTACCTGGGAACATCCCCCACCAGCGATGAGTTTCCATGCTTTCGAGCCATGAAAAGGTGCTCCACGCACCGCCGTTCAGGTTCAAGTTCAAGTAGGAATGCCCCCCTTATTCGCAGGATGGTGTGTAAAGGTCCTTCAGGGCAGTTAAAAGGAGCCGAAAATCTCAAGAAAAAGATACAAGCAAGCAAATAAAAATAATAAATAAAGAAGGAAAAAGAAAAAGAAAAAGAAAAAAAAAAGAGAAAGAAGTAAAAAAATCAATATGAAAGGAAAGTGCAGTCAGCGGCGCGTTTTCCGTTTTTAAGTTTCACTTAAACTTTTTCATTTGAGAGCTTTTCAGTTAACAACGATTCTCACACCAACACAGTCTCACAAACTCGCACACATACGAACACATGCGATTACACCTAAACAATATGCAGTAAAAATACAACCGAAAAAAAAGAAGGAAAACTATCGAAGAAAATTGAAAAGTATTTAGCAAGTTTATTTCTCTCTCATTTCTCATGAAACATTTCTCGAACTTCCTTACTCTAATTGATGATGATGATGATGAAGATGATAAACTGACTTGTTCTAGACAGCTCTCATCAACTATCCACCTATGTCTACCTCGCTCTGTATCTATCTCTCAGAACATCGTTAAGCATCTGCAATATATAGTTTGAACATCATAAGACACCCGACTCCACATCCACACCATTCCACACATTGTACGCCTCTCTGAAAGTTTGTTTAAATCATCGTACCATCGAAGAAGAACCCATCAGATGGGTGTCCTTCGGTTGCATCTTCAACTAACTCATTCGTAATGATTTTTTATATATTTTGCTCTTGTAAGTTCCTCTCTCAAAACTCTTTCAAACATCTCGATGTTGTGTTTTTATTTGCAATACTTACTTTGTTTGATTTCCCAATTACGATTGCCAATTCAATTCCAATTACAATTCAACTCCAATTCCTAAGCCCACATAGAAAGTATTGTAATCGAATAAGCGTAAATACGAAAGCAAAGAAAGTTGGACAGCTGTAAAGTTTCAGCCTTAAGTGTTTTAAATACCATTATATTGATTGTCTTGTAAATTGTTTTGTCCTTGATTATCGAGTTATGTATATTGTTTTGGTTATAAAGTTGCTCCTTGTTAAGTTAGCGAGTTGATGGCTAAGGGAATTTTATAACATATTATTTTGTATTCCAAAGTATCATCCCGAGCCAAACTCAACAACTTAAGAGCAAACTACTTGTTCATTTTATGTTTTCTCTTTTGTTCTGTAAATATTTTATCTGAAAAAGAGTTTTCGTTTACAGTCCTATGATAATCTAAACAATGAAAATAATTTAAATAATTGCTGTACCTTAACTTAAACGACACGTGCGGTATGTTAACGTTAAAAGGTGTTTGTTTCAGACGTCTACCGAATGTAGAACAGCGAACAACAACCATGGTGTTTAACCACAACAACAAGTAATAACAATGTCAAATGCGAATGCAAATGCAATTCCCTAATCACGAACGTGATCTAAATGACCTTCTTTCGAAACTAAAAAGCGAAATGCGAGCAAGAGAGCAAAAATAAAATACAATAAAGCAAAAATGAGTAAGGCGAACAACAACAATGCAAAATGACGAGAAAACGCAACGTAAATAATTTCAATGTACAAGTACAATATCGTTTTTCGTTTCATGTTTTAGGCGAGAGAAAAAAATCGACACGCAAGAACTCGGTGAAACATTTTTTTGCCCAAATCGCTCGATGCAAGTCACGCTATCGGCAAATTGCGATTGCGATTGAATTGGATTGGATGGGATGGGATGGAGTACCATTGCAAAATGGCATTAGCCGTGGCTTCTTGAGACGAGAGGGCAAAACAATGTTTGAAAGCGCCCAGGGCTGTAATTTTGCACCATTTAATATGTAATTAGCTTTGTGTTAAGTAAACTCAACTATCGTAAACATCAATACAACAATACCGCAACCGCAACCAAATTGCAACTAATTAATCAAGCCTAACGTGTCTCACGTAAAATTAGATTCTTGTTGTGTAAGTGTGTCCAAAATGAAAATAAAAGCAAACAACTGAAAATAGAGAAGTAACGAAAGGCAGGCGATGGAGATGGCTAGACTGAAAAATAACTATAGTCAGATCGATATGAGTTAGTCATAATAATGTTTTCATTAATTGGGTAACTCATTAGCTCTGAAGAAAGATTGATTGATTTAAAGCTAATGATAGGAACAAGGAAAATAAATCATTAGTCAAATTGATTACTTTACTTTTAATGAAAAAATGATGAAATTTGCTAATGTCATTTGTTATTTAAACGAATTTTATTATTATGTTTGAATCATTAGTCAAATTGATTCCTAAACTTTCAATGAAAATTATCGTTAGTCATCTAAGTGCATTTCATTAAAACGATTGCTTTTTAAGGCTTTGAAAAAATTATAAAATTTAAACATGGAGTTATTTAGGAAAGCAAATTAAGTAATTAACAAATTAAATGAATTCATATAGGAGTTTTCTTTATAGCCTGATCCTGCTCCTGCCTCGACCAAAACACACACACTCACACACCGTAAAGTGGAAGTCTCGCACTCCTGCACAGGCACACACCCACACTCTGTCAAGCACCGTTGCACAAAAACAAACTCACACACACACGTGACGCGTTTGCATGTGAGCACCTAAAAAAAAAAAAAACAAGCAGCAGCAGCAGCAATGAAACCACGATAATATTTATAAAATAACAAGCAAAATGACTGTCAGTCAGGAATGATATAGCCAACAACCGCATGTCCTGCTCACAAAGTCCCCAGTCTGAACCCGAATCGGGCTAGCCCTGTACAGTGTGAATAGTGTATATCTTTGTTTTTCGTACTATATATATCGTATATCGTTTCGCTCGCCATCGCATCGTATCACTCAGTCCGCCCACTCAGCCATTCAAGTGTATGAATAAGTAACTGTAAATGCGCCAAATTGCCAGCTGCAACAACAGTGGCCTACTTCGACTGACGCCCTGAATACCACCCACCGCCCCATCGCCCCGTCTCTTTCTCCAGCTCTATAGCTAACTCTTTTGCTCTTGCTATTTCTCTATCTCTCTGTCTCTGTCGCCGCAGTCATTTGCATGTCAAGATGTCAATCATTCGGTGGGCCAACGCGTCGTATGCGCAATGTGGCCGCTCGTTAAGGCTAATGCACCCTTATTAACTTAGACTTAGTCGAAACACACACACACACACACCCAGAGCTCTCTAGGGCACAGATTAACACACTAACATCAACATGAAACATGGACAGTTTATACCCAATACGATACCCATCGATGTTTAGTTCAATGTCGTTAAGCAAATTTCCGAATTATTATTTCGGTTTCGGTTTCGTTTTCGTTTTCAATTATCCTGGTTATTACCCCGATATTGACCTTTTTCAGTTACCATTTATAGACCGTAGGTTGTTGCCTCAGTAAAATGTTTTTCTCATATTTATAATTTTCCTCGGTTCACACGCACAGCTGGGAAGAAATTATCTAAAAAGTCACCGCCACCGTAATCGTATTGAAAATGTATCTCACACACCAAAACTAGTCTAAGAAAATGATACATTCAAATGTCAACCAAATGCATATTCGTATGTAAACCAGAACAAAATGCGCACCAACTAACTTACTTAACTTATCTAACCAACTTTAGCGAACTCTTTACTTTTACTTACTTTCCTTTGGTTTGCGCTGTGGCAGCGATTTTCGATTTTCGATTATCGATTTCGTTTTGTCTTAATTAACAACTATAACTACTATCCGTACCAGTACATTGTATGTATTGTAATCTGCACCTTTCTTTAGAATGTACCAAGCTGCAACAAACTAAATAACAATAACAACAATACTCCAATCGAATTTCAACTACATTCAGCCACCTGTCGAGTGAATAAAATACAAAATGCTTGAAAAAATCTATGAACCAAACAAAACAACTAGATCTATGTCTACTAAAACCGCATACCTATATCTACTCTATACTCTTATATACTCTTTGACTACATATGCGTATGTGCTTCTTGTCACCAACTATACTCCATATACTACTCGAACCCAACTACCTCTATAAATATATATATATATATCTACCCAAACAACGTATAACCATATGTAACCAATGTAAACGGTACTCCGCCTAGTCAACAACTTAGAGCAAGGCCGATCCCGGCCAGACAACCCCCAATGGCGAGGCCACCGAGTTTTATCCATCTCTTGTTTTTGGAAATGTTCCTTCCACAGCCGAAACGATCCTGGGCCGCCACAGCACCATGGAGATCCGCTCGATCCACCTGGGCGGTCTCTTCCACGCCGAGGAGGAGATCCAGATGACCTCCACCATGCCGAACTTTGTGGGCCAGATGCAGGGATTGGTTTTCAATGGCCAGCGGTGGGTATTGGTGTAATCTAATTGGTTTTTTAATTATATTTTAGTCAAAAGAATGCACTGCTGTAAAAAAAACATTCCCGCACTTATAAAGTATATATATTCTTGATCGGCTTGACTTTTTTGTGTATACCGTTTGTATATATAATTTTAAAAAGTTTAAACTTGAAATTTTATCAATCGTATATAATTCAGGTATTAATAAATTTTAGTATTTAGACCGTACTCTAGAGTTTTGATTATCATCGGTTGACTAGACCCTATAAATGTCAAACTGACAAGCGCAGTGCAAAATATATATTCTTATACCTTTCCAAATCATAGTTTTTTTAAAGAACACTGATCGAGTTAAATATTTTGCCAATCGGATAACTATATCATATAGCAGCCATATAATTGGTCGGGTCAAACTTGAAAAATTTGGTAGTTTTTGAAGAATAATCAAAATATCTTTGTTTTTGCATCTATTAAGATGCAAAGATGGTTTTATATAATTTCGTATTCATTTTTAGACTGCGAGAGTATTAAATCTTCATTTTGGCGAAGTTTGCTTCCTTTCTTGTTAAATCCTTATTTTTGAAAATTTTTCCCCTTAGCTATTTGGACATTGCCAAGAGCCTGGGACCGGAGCTCTCGGCTCTGCCCAGTGCCACCTTCAAGTTAACGGCCCGCTTCGTGAACTCTCCGGCCGGACAGCCCTACCATGCGGCCACCTTCCGCTCCAAGCACTCCTACGTGGGATTGGCCATGTTGAAGGCCTACAACAGCATCTCCATTGATTTCCGTTTCAAGACAGTGGAACCCAATGGCTTGCTGGTCTTCAATGGCGGACGACGCAATGACTTCGTGGCAGTGGAACTGGTAAATGGGCACATACACTACACCTTCGATTTGGGCGATGGACCGGTGACGATGAGGGACAAGTCCCGCATTCACATGAACGACAACCGCTGGCATCAGGTCAGCATCAGGCGTCCGGGACCCAAAACCCATACGCTCACCGTGGATGACTCCTTCGAGATCATTAGTTTGACTGGAAACAATATGCACTTGGAGCTGGCGGGCATCCTGTACATTGGCGGCGTCTTCAAGGACATGTACTCCAAGCTGCCGGCCTCGATCTCCTCGAGGTCTGGCTTCGAGGGCTGTCTGGCCTCCTTGGACTTGGGCGATGCCTCTCCCTCGCTGACCAGCGATGCAGTGGTTCCCAGCTCCCTGGTGGTCACTGGCTGCGAGGGACCCACCAAGTGCAGTCAGAATGCCTGTGCCAATCGGGGAAACTGTGTGCAGCAGTGGAATGCCTACGCCTGCGAGTGCGACATGACCTCCTACACAGGACCCACCTGCTACGATGGTAATTTGGGGAGGGAAAATCTAGGTGGCACTTAAAGGTGCCATACAAATCTCTAAAATTTTTGATAATTCATAATTCAATTTAAGCTATTTGCTCACCATTGAAATATATATAAATTTACTACTGTTTTTTTTAATATAAACATTATTTTATATCTTACTTATCCAAAATATATATACCGTAAAGTTTAATGAATATAATATATAACAAATAAGATTTTAAAATATCTGCAAACATAGATTTAGGTGCCATCTAAATTTATTTGAATGCCGAGTTTTCTGATTTAAAACCTTTTACTTGCAGAATCGATAGCCTATGAGTTTGGCAACAACAAGGGCATGGTGCAGTACGCATTCCCCGAAAACGCACAGGCTGACACCGAGGAGGACAACATTGCATTGGGCTTCATAACGACAAGGCCGGATGCGGTGCTCCTGCGGGTGGAGAGCGCCACCACGCAGGACTACATGGAGCTGGAGATTGTGGAGGGCAACATCTTCATGGTGTACAACATTGGGAGCGTGGACCTGCCGCTGGGCGAGATCGGGACGAAGGTGAACGACAATGCCTACCATGTGGTGAGGTTCCAGCGGAAGGGAGGCAATGCCACGCTCCAGCTGGACGACTACAATGTGCAGGCACTCACGCCGCAGAGTAAGTGGATGTGGGATGGGCTATCATTAGGGGGTATCTAATGGCATTTCGATCTTCTTCAACGACTCTTGCAGGCCACCATTCGACCGTGTTCAATACCATGTCCAACGTTCAGGTCGGCGGCAAGTTCAGTCGGAACGGTCGCAATCGCATTGAGCGACCGTTCGCCGGCGTGATTGCCGGACTGTCGGTGAACAAGTTGCGCATTCTGGACTTGGCCGTCGAACGCGACCCCCATATCACCATCCGCGGAGATGTTCAATTGGTAACTGGAGTATTAGATAGAAATGATCTGCAGAGAATGCAGCAGGTTAGGGAATTTATTTGAAATTTTATTTCAATTCCTCTCAACTTTCAACTTTCCAAGTATTTTTCTCATCGTAAACCAATTTTATTCAAAATTCTTTCTTTAATTAAAACCAAAAAAAAAAAAAAACAAAAAAAAAAGAAAATCTAAGCAAAATTATTGTATTAATCCGCTTCATAAGTTTGTGGAACCCCTTTTCCCAAAATTGATTTGACAAGATTTGATTGCACCTCCGAAAATTCGATATCCCATTCGAATAATGTACAGTTTTTCCCAAGCACAATCCTGAATTATTTTGAAATGCATAACCGTTAACCGTATCGAATGTAACTACATCTGTACACTGAAGTCATCGTCATCATAATCAAATCCGGGAAATTCGGTTCGACATTCAGTACAAAACGTTAACCGTTCCAACTAAACCAAAAGTATTAGCTAACTAACTGTATTTGTCTAGTGTAAACGCTGCATTTGAATTGACTTTATGATTTCCCTCGGGCGCCATTCTTTTTTTACTGTAACGCTTTTCACGCACCAATAAAAAAAAAAAAAACTGTTGTACTTAAAGATAATTGCCAGATTTTCCACTAACCAGCCACTTGAGTTTCCTGAATTTGTTTCCATTGCTGCACAGCACATTAACCAATAACTGTGAATATATACTCAGCTATATAAACCAATACGATTTACTATGCACTAGAACTCGTCGCACTTATGCTGCATGACTCTAATCAAAGCTCACATCAAACACAACTATACTTAAGCACAAAACAGTATGTGAAAGCCATTGGAGATGTTATTATAATGGTTAAGAAAGGTCGAAACTAAATATAATTAAATAACCACCTATATTTTTACTTCAAATTCACTGATCGAAAAAAACATACCAGAATATCAAATTTGTTTAAGTAGGTATTTACTAAACAACACGAATTAAATTGAGTACCAATTTAGTAAGAAAAGTAAAATGCTTGGATTATTTAAGTACTTGATAAATATCGTAATTACTTTAATTGAATTCCCGAAATTTGATGCCTCAATGGAAAACTACTTTAAAGATATCCGTCAAAGCCACATTGTTTTAGACTATACAACTTGAAAGTATTATTGGGTTTCTAAATTCAAAAATTATTAAAAAGTAATAGATATTAAAACACCTTTATTTTCTTAAAAATTATTATTTTCTTTAAATTAAAAATAGTTTTAAGAAGTAAATCTGGAAGAAGTCGTTAAATATTGGGACTGTCATCTAATCAATTACTATTGATTCATATTTTAGTCTTTATATTAAATTCTTTAGAAATTATATGAAGCTATGTGAAAAACTTTAAGATTTCGGAAGCCAGAATATTTAAGACTGCCTAAATTCAAAAAAATATAAAATGATCACAAAGTAAGGTAATTAATTTCTTTGAGATTTGAAACTTTTTAAAGACAGTCCAGTTACGATCTCCTCTGGCTTTCTCTACTCTACACACCAACGCATACATATATACTTAATCAAACAGCACCTAACCAACTTACTAATCCAGTTAACAAAACCCATACAATAATTATCGCTTGGCCCGGCTGCCGCCAGATCAACTGAAGTAAAATTAGACTTTGAACTCTACTCGACAGACGCCGGCGAGTGGTTATCCGGGTGCGCTGGACGATCTGATCTTCTCGGGAGCCGGATCCGGATGTCGTGGCGATGACGAGGACGAGTGCACGCCACCGTTTGAGTCCGGAAGCGGAGATGATCTGATAACGCCGGTATATGTGCCGCCCACCAAGCAGACAACCACCTCCCAGCAGGGAAATAGCCTGAGCACGGGTGGCAATAACAGTGGCGGTGGAGGCAACACCAATGGCACGGAGCGGGCCTGCGACGATGAGGACTGCGTCCATGGATCCGGCGACTACGGCGAGACCACAGAGCAGTTCACCTCGACGAGCACGGCCCGGGGTTCAGGTGAGTGTTGATTGTAGAGGTTGGTCTCATTTCGTCATTGGCATTTGGATCAATCACGGAAAAACACTTGACAATAGACACCACACAAACACACACACACACTTCATCACAGACATTAGCTAGTCCCACTCGAAGTTCAAGTTAAGTATACGCAGGGTGTACACTGCCATAGTAAAGTAGAGTACGTGCTAACGATTAAGCTCTGTGGGTGTTCAGTTGTGTTCGAGTTCCAGTTCGAGTTATGTACTATAATCTCCAAAAGCTCTACTTATATAACCGCATAACCGTTTAGCTAGTGACGCTTTGCCTTTTTCAGTTTTGTTCAATGCTCCACGGAGATCGAGGAAGTTAGGTTTGTGCCGAATTGCAACGCCAATGCTTTGACAGCTTACACAAATACATCCAAACAGCCAATCAGCTCTGAATTTATATGTATATATATATAAACAGATATATATCGCCTCTATCGCACCCCTCGCAATGCATCAACCCAACCAGAAACCAAAATCAATCAAATCGCCGTGTCATCTCAGCTCAGAAATCAGTCCAGATAAACTAAAAAATATGAAAAAAAAAAAAAAAAAATGCATCGCAATTAAATCGTCGCCTATATCCTTCATCTCCACCTGTTGCTGATGATCGATTGCCTTCTAATTTGAACTGACAACGAGTACGCCTTATGTGTCTCTTTCAGAATGTGAAATCGCCTTCATATTTCTGACTGTGATCGCGCCATGGATACTCTGTAAATTCCCATAAGCAATACAACCAAATGCAACCAAAAAGCAATGCACTTAGGCTAAGCTTCCAACTAGACCTCTCTGTCTAAACTGTATAACTAACTCTAGCATTAACGAGAGCTAAACCACCAGCAACAGCAACTGAAAAAAATAGTGCAACTACAACAACAACCAGAACAACAACTATAACAACCAGAACAACAACAACAACCACACCGATCATTTGGCAAGGGTTTTTGGTTGAGTGAGAGTGGGTTAAGCGTTAAGCGATAAGGGTTAAGCATAACAAGGACTCAGTAAATATATATATATATATATATAAATATATATATAGTACATGAGTGCCCCGATCGAAGATGTATATGTTTTGTACATAGTAGCGATAAAAGCAGCGTCTGCAGTGTAAGAAGTGATTTTCCCAGTTCAGTTCCTCCTTCTCCTCCTCCTTCTCCTTCTCCTTCTCCTTCACATTTATTCCCTCGATTGCATAGTTCTACTGTTCTTGCAATTCCAATTTGTACATATCGTGCGAAAAGATTGAATGTCCAGCACCCAAAAAAAAAAGCAAGAATGACACACCTTAACATATCTCAAAATATCTACAAATCTCTATCCTCTCTAACTGTGTTGAATAAACTATAAAAATGCAAAGCACAACTGGCGGTTCAAATGATTTTCGGGGGGAAAAGTACCACTACAAGTTCGAATTTTGTATTTATAGCTATCTTTTGAATAGTTAGGACCTAAATGCTCTTAAAAGAAATTAAATTCTTTTGGTTAAAAAAAGAGCATTTTATGATTTTATTTTCATACGAAGATAAATTGACATTTTTAAATTATGAAAACAACTGAAGCCATAAATTAACAAGGATTTTGATTTAAATATTTAATAATTTTTTTAAAGTATATGATCTTTTTTAATTTTACATTTGTTTGAAAGAGAAGCTATGTAATCTAACCTGCGTAAATATTCCAATTTTCATTAAAAAAGGCTTCTTTCTTCAACTTAATTTTTAATTTTACAATAATTTTCTTGGATAATGGGGTTGAGTACAAATTAGGATAGCAATAAAACCACTGATCACACACAACTGCAAAAACATGTACATAGAGCACCCACTTGCGAACACTTGAATAAACCCCAAACGACTGCTTGCAGAGTCCAACAATGAGCTGGTGCCGATAACCACCACGGGACGCAGCGATGTGACCACCGAGCAGCAGCAACATCATGGCAGCAGTAGCAGCTCCATCAGCATGAGCGGCAGTACCCCATCCTATGCCACCACGCAGTCGTCGAGCAGCAGCAGCGGAGGATCCGGATCCGGATCAGGATCGGGAGTATCGGGAAGCAGCACGCCGGGACAAGTAAGCAGCACAAGCAGCAGTGTGGCCACCACTTCTACGCAGAGGGCCACCAGCAGCAGCACCAGCACGAGCACCAGTTCGACGTCCACGACCTCTACAACCACCACCACGCAGGCCACTCCGCCGCCGGAGATCCGGAGCACGGTCACGGAGCGGGACACCACCACATACGATGTGTATGTGGCAGGTGGCGGCCTGGGCGGATCCGGACGCCATGACCACGATCGCATGCAGCTGCCCGATGAGCACCATCCACTGCCACCCCTACCGCCTCCGATTCCGCCGCAGGATCCCCCACCATACGGGCCCTATGGCGGGAACACCTACAACACCAACATGAACAACAACTATCGGCCGAAGAGCAAGGGCGGCAGGATCAACTCGATCGAGGAGGAGCGCACGGCCATGATCATTGGCATAGTGGCGGGCATACTCATCGCAGTGGTGCTGGTTATCCTGCTGGTCCTGTGGCTCAAATCGAACGGGGATCGTGGCTACAAGACGGAGAGTGAGAAGGCCGCTGCCTACGGCTCGCACAATCCCAATGCCGCCCTGCTCGGGAATACCAGCACCAATGGATCGTACCATCAGCAAAGGCAGCACCACCTGCAGGGCGGAGGAGGAGGGGGAGGATTAGGAGCGGGTGGCGGAGGAGCAGGACATCAGCAGCATCATGGCCAACAGCAGATGCACAATGGCCATAATGGAAACGGAAATGGAGGAGGCGGCGGCGGCGGCATGATGTCCAGCGGAAGTGGGTCACTGGGCTACGGCAGCGATGGACGACCCCAGATGGCGGGCCTAGTCCAACCGAAGGCCAAGAAGCGAGACTCCAAGGACGTCAAGGAGTGGTATGTGTAAGGCGATGAAAGGTCGCAAGGAATTATCGTCAAATTAGCAATAAATGCAAATAGTGCAAAGCGAGCCGAAAGTGAAAGTCCCCCCTAAGATACATACACGAACACACACACACAAACACACATAAGCGTATATAAATATATATATTTATTTAGCAGCCTCATAAAGTTAATTAAACAATTAGACGTCGGACACTGGGTGTACAAACGGAAAGGCAAGGATAATAATAACCAATAAACGATGGCTGATAGCGTTAGCAGCAAGCAGATAGACACGCAAATACTTTAGACAAGTGCATCTGGCCAGGAGCATTGGTTCACCCTAAAGAGTAACGTTTAGATTACGCCTAAGAAATTATAGCTTCAACTTCAAAGACTTGCTAGTAGAGATCTACCACTGGAGCCACTGGAGCAGCCAAGCCACATCCATCAGCGAATAAGCATATGAATTACACTAAACGAATACAAACTATATATATTATATATATCACAACGTTACGATCAAATTATGCCACTAGCCAATCAAGTAATTGTGTAAAATATTTCGCCACAAAGTATGCTATGAAAAGTTCGCAAGAGGAGAACCCAATTAAACGGCAAATCTTCTAGCAAAAAAAAAAAACCAAACAAACTAAACAACTTAGCAGAAATTCAATATAAACGTACTTAAATATATATATATATATTTATATGTAAACGTAAAGTAATGAGGTTCTGAATGAGTCATTTTTCTTCGCGTGTAAAGTTACAAAATGTGGTGCTGTAAACGTAGGAGACAAGATCATTTGTTGACTACAATAATAATAATTAAATAATAGTGAGGAATGCAAGAATTTATGCTACAGATTGTTTGTTGAATTGAAACCGGCTTTAATTAGTTAAAATGTAAATGAGATAATACTGAATACTAACTAACCATGAAATCAAAGACAAAAGAAAATACGGAGGACACAGTAGATACCCACGATTTGGTTGACGTATACGTGATGCGACTTTTTCGTTTGCGTGCAGCAACTCAATGCGACTTTGTGTTAGTCTTTTCCACTCCCGAGCCCAACACATATACTTTTTATATGTATTTGAGACTATATATTGTCACCGACCTGCGTGCAATATGAACTCAGACATATCAAGAAAAAGACAAGACACTAGACACAATCACACACACCAAACACGCGACACTCTAAAAAAAAACACTGAAGCGAACCTACCTAGCTTTTCTACTACCACTGCTAATCAATGTGAGCGAACATTACTTTACCGTCGAGAGAACGAGGACGAAAACGAAATCAAGCAACAATTTTACAGTATTATAGCAGCTTTAAGCGTATTTTTCGAAGCCAACGTGACGTATACACAATCTGCAGTCACCAGGACACACCACACACCCACACACGCCTACACCTACACAGACAGACACACCAGCACACATACAGAAGCGAGATTCGATTTTCCGCAAGCGGCCCTTAAATTCTGTATACATCTATAATCGTATATATCATTTTGAAGAGCTATATTCAAATTTTTGCTTCATTATCAATACCAATTAGTGTATCATTTTGGATTAGATATACAAAATACCTATATACACTCGATATACTAACTAATACACGCACACGCACACACTCACCTCACACACGCACTCCCAAAGTCACTCATTTGAACACTAGCGAAATTACTGGACATACTTCTCTCAAATTCTTAATGGAAAAAAAGGCGAGGTATGCTGTATATACCTAGGAAAGTACTATATATACACGAATATATATACATTTAAAAACTAAAACAACATATATACTGCATTTCAAAAAACTTTTGATATATTTTCGAGTTTTTTAAACCCTTAACTTGTATACAAAAAAGGAAGCGAAAGGCGAAATCACGAGACAAACTAGCGAATCTAGCTGAAATGAACACCTAGGACAATTACAATTAACATACAAGTACATAGCGAAACACAGTACATAGGCAGACAAAAACACAATTATATACGCATACATCCAAACTATACTATTTATAAATGTACATCTATACAACATATACATATACGAGTATAACTAACGAACAATGATTATTATGTATTACGTCCCTTCGATTTGATAATGAAACCAAACGAGAAACCACAAATTTTAAACGCTGTTGATAACCAAAACCATTCCCACTTATATATGTAACACTCTCTCCCGATAACTTTCTCTCTATCTCTTCACAATGTTAATGCTGCACAATGAAAACTCTGCATTTAAAGTAAACCACTAACGTTTATTCATTTCAAGATTCAAGAGAAAACCAAATTAAATATAACTAATTATACAAATTTGCCTTGCGAATTATCAGCGAGCACACGATATTGAATCCAGAATGGGAATTAAATATATGTATCCGCCCCCAGAAAAAAAGAAGGATTTTCTTCATTGTTTCCCAAGAAATTACATTTTATTAGAGATCAAAAGCAAGTCAAGGTAAATGTTATGTATGTATGATATAGTGACAGGATCGTAAAGGACGAGTACAGTTAGTTGTATGGGTAACAGTAACATAGTTAAAGCATGTAACGTAATAGTTCAAGAGGTCAAGAGGTCAAGGAGCAGAGCGTGCGAGAAACGATCGTGAGTATCGGTACTAAAACTTACTTCTACTTAGGCTTAATATCATTGTTATCTAATCTATACATATATATAAACCGACACACACACAACACCCCCACATATAACAGAGAATATGTATATGAACATGTATTGGACGCGCGGCGCTTGAGCTGTGCCTACTTATATATATATTTAACAAATTGTAACGTGTATGTATATGTAGCGGCAGTGATTGTTAAAGAAATTGCTTTGTTTTGTGTTAGATTTTATAATTTACGAGAAAAACAAAAAAAATACAAAAATTGTAAAACGCATACAAATACAGAATGACTGACAAAACACAGAATTATAACATTGCATATAATAAATACAATAAAAATATAATTGAAAAAAATATTAAGTGTTATTTTTTGAAAGAAGTGTATCTGCCATTGAGTAAGTCAAGAAATTTATGCTCATAGTCACCTCTTGCTTCGTTTTCTAAAAATTATAAATACTTTAAAGTTACACTTGTTTTGAAGTCGATTGATTAAATAATAATTCATTTTGAAATTTCGCGCCAATCATTCGATACAAATTCGATAAGCCAATGTTGGCAGTGGTGACAGCCCTGTATATCAGCCCTGTTTCACGAGACTAGCGAAAACTGGCATCTCTGTTAAGCGGAATTCGCAAAGGTGGCAACCACGCACGGCGACTGAATAAAATTGGAATAAAATTTGTTTTATTAAATTATAAGCACAAGCAATGGCTGCCACCACAAGCACCCCGGGCAAGGCCGAGATGATCGACCTGACCAAGCTGAGTCCAGACCAGCTGATGCAGATCAAGCAGGAGTTCGAGCAGGTGAGTGCCGCATGTGGGTGTGCGATGAGTCAGGAGCGGGGAGGGGGGAAATCTGGAGGAGGGGCTCCGCTGCAAATGGCACATGCTTCTAAAAATCCGACAATTCATATGATCCTCAGGAGATGACCAACATACAGGACTCGCTGTCCACACTGCACGGCTGCAAAGCCAAGTATGCCGGCTCCAAGGAGGCGCTTGAAACCTTCCAGTCCAACTGGGAGAACCGCCAGATCCTGGTGCCCCTTACCAGCAGTATGTATGTGCCAGGACGCGTCAAGGATCTCAACAACTTTGTCATAGACATCGGCACCGGCTACTACATCGAAAAGGTACTTGAGATTCTCTCAACTAAACGCACCATCTGCTCAACAACCATCTGTTTCTTCAACAGGATCTTGATGGCTCCAAGGACTACTTCAAGCGGCGAGTGGAATACGTGCAGGAGCAGATCGAGAAAATCGAGAAGATCCACCTGCAGAAGACGCGCTTCCTTAACTCTGTGATCGGTGTGCTGGAACTGAAGCAGGCGGCCGCCGCCAAGATGCTGCAGGCACAGCAGCAGCAATCCCAGCCAGCGGCCACCCAGAGCTCCTAGGACCACCACCTCTTCCTAGGACGACCGAGACAGACACAGAGAGGGAGAGAGAGCATTAAATTATTTAACCTATAAACGAGATGTGTGCGCATTTAATTAACATAGTTTATTAAATTGTTCAGCTACTTTTTGGCCTCTTCCAATGCCACAGTGAGAACCTTTAGCTTCTGTTCGTACGCAGACTTTAGATCCTGTAAGAAAAGAAGATGTAAATTATGAATGGAAATAGTTTGTAATGCCAACGCACCTTGAATATCCTCGACTGGGTGTCGTATTCCGAACGCAGCTTATCGTACACTCCCTTCGAGATGGCCAATTTCTTTTCCGTCAGCAGACACTTGTCCTGCTCCGCCTTGATCCACAACTGGCTCTTCTCCAGACGCGCCTGCGTGTGATCGCACTCGGCATTCTTCAGCTGCAGCATGTCCTTGGTCACCTGCAGCACATCCTTGATCGTCTCCACTTGGGTCTTGAGTACGGCTATCTGCTGCTCCTGCTGCTTGTTCACCTTGGTCTTCTCGAACAGCAGAGTTTTGGCCTTGAGCAGCAGCTCCTCCTGCTCTTGCCGGGATTTGGGTGCATCTGTGCCGCCCAGCATGACGGACTGCTTGAGGGACTGCTCCAGCTGCACTACTCGCCGCTTCAGACGCTCGTTCTCCACCTTGGCTTCCTGCAAACAGGTTGATTGGATGGAGTGGATGTATTGGATGGGTGCAATCCATGGAAATACGGGTCAACTAACCTCAAAGTCTTTGCGGAGTGCCCCGATTCGCTTGCGAGACTCCTCTAGCAGCGCCTGTTTTTCGCTCTCCAACGTGAAAACCATGTCGAGCAGCTCGTTCTGCGGCTGTTCCGGCAGATGCACATCCTCCTGGCCATTACCTTCTGTGACATTGTTGTTCAGATCACCGCCAACGGCTCCCTCCTCATTAATATCGGCCATTTTATTGGAGAATACTTTTCGAGTCCAACACAATCGTTGAGCAATGTGCGTTTGCCGTGCCTTTGGGTTGTGTTTTCTTTTTGTATTAATAGACCAAATAGATGCAGACGCTATTTATAGGAGATCCCGCTCTCCGGTTCGCTCTTGGCTAGATCACTCTCCCGAAATAACAAACCATTTCCCTCCAGTGTTTAGTTGGCGCCTCAGCGTATTCTGAAGTTCAGTTTATTATACATTGAAGCGTGTGGATGAGAAAGGATAACGGATGTGCGGTGTTAATACAGATCGCTTAGGGCAACACAATTAAATTGTTGTTACAATCAAATGGGGCGACAATTGAAAGTGAGTGATTTGATTAAAATTAAATGCCTAAACAGAGTGGGGGGAAGTGAATGTGCCTCGCTCGCAAAGGAGTATGTCTAACCGTCCAGTTCGCCAGCGGCGCAGGCATCGGCATAGCTCTTTCCGCCCTTCTCCTCCGGATTAAGCTTGATCATGTCGTCGATACGCAAAATGGTTATGGCCGCCTCTGTGGCGAACTTCAGCGACTTGATCTTGGACATGGCCGGCTCCAGCACACCAGCCTTCTTGTTGTCCCGCACCAGACCCTCGATCAGGTCCAGGCCGGTCCACTTGAGGTCCGAGCGCTCGGGCTTCGTCTGGCTGGAGTTGTGGTAGGAGCGCAGCTTGGCCACCAGATCCGTGGCGTCCTTGGCCGCGTTCACCGACAGCGTCTTGGGAATGACCAGCAGCGACTTGGCGAACTCGGCAATGGCCAGCTGCTCGCGGGAGGCCAGCGAGGTGGCAAAGTTCTCCAGGTAGATGGACAGGGCAGCCTCTACACAGCCGCCGCCGGCCACCACCTTCTTGCTCTCCAGCACACGCTTCACCACGCACAGGGCGTCGTGGACGGAGCGCTCCATCTCATCACAGTAGAAGTCGTTGGGACCACGCAGGATAATGGAGGCCGCAGCACTAAAAACGGGCATTCAAATATAATAATTGCTCATCTTGATGTACCCCAAAGCCAAACTTACCGCGCCTTTGTGCCCTTGATGAGAATGAGCTCATCGTCGCAGATGCGCTCTTGGGCCACCTCAGCAGCCTCTCCCACCATGGAGGCATCGAAGCTCTCCTCGCCATCCATGTTGGTCAGCGAGGTGAGGAAGGCGGCGCCGGTGGCCTTGGCAATGATCTTGAGATCACTCTTCTTCACGCGACGCACAGCCATGGCGCCGGCCTCAACGAAGTACTTCATGCACAGATCATCCACTCCGCCGCTGACCAGCACCACATTGACTCCGGTGCCCAGGATCATGTTGATGCGCTCCTTGGTGATGTCCAGCTCGCGGGCACGGATGGCCTCCAGCTTGTCGGGGTCGTTGATCAGCACCTGGACGCCCATCTTCATCTTGGTCTTCTGCAGCGAGAAGTCCAGGCAGGCGATCTTGGCGTTCACAATCTTCTTGGGCATCTGCTGGGAGGCGATGGTGCAATTGAGGGCGTAGCCGGGAATCAGCACGGACTCCCGGGCAGACTTGCCATGGGCCTTGAGGACATTAATGGCCTTGATCGAGTAGGCGGGCTGGCCACGGGGATCTGTGATCTTCACCGACTGGGCGGCATCCACGACCATGGCGGAGAAGAATTCGGCATCGGCGCCGATGATCTTCGAGCTCATCGATGTCTTGGCAATGTTGATAAGGGAGTCACGACCCAGCTCATCCACGGGGGCGGTCAGGTGCTCCGAGATGTACTTGCAGGCCTCCTTGCAGGCAATCCTGTAGCCCGAGATGATCGAGGTGGGGTGGATCTTCTGTTTGACCAGCTCGTCGGCGTTCTTCAGCAGCTCGGCGGCCAGGATGACCACCGAGGTGGTGCCATCGCCAACCTCCTCATCCTGCAGCTGAGCCAGCTCAACCAGGACCCTTCAAATTTGTCGGGTTAAATGGATTTAAAATGGTTTTCCACACACAACAACTCACTTGGCAGCCGGATGCTCCACTTCCAGCAGTCGCAGGATGGTGGCTCCGTCGTTGGTCACCGTCACATCGCCGATGTCGTCCACCAGCATCTTGTCCAGACCCACGGGACCCAGGGAGCTCTTCACGATGTTCGAAATGGACAGGGCGGCCATAACTGAAAGGAAAAAGGATTCCAGTTGCAGTCATAACCTCACTTTGCGGTGCTAGTCTTTGGGCACTTGTAACTCTATAAGTGGTATGGTTTCTTTTGGAAAACCAAACTGATTGATCGGATAGCCCTCCCCCGATTTTGTTCGGGAACATTCCATATACAATGCGTGACCGCCTGGTGAGTAAGAAACGTGCTCTGCCGGCAGACGCACCGCAGATGTGTACTAATCCCCGCCATTCTCACCGTTCTGTGTGCGCACGGATGCTCCGGATTGGCGGGTGCCAGCAATGGACAGCGAAGGGGCCAAGGTCGACATTTTCTTTCGGTTTTCGGCGAGTTTTAATAAAAAACGAGATTAATCAAATACTGCTGCTGCACGTTAACCGCCTGACTCATGGAATTAGAGGTGGAAATTGGTGAATAAGAGTGGTTGGGAACTTGGCTGGTTTGGGAACTTGGCTGGTTTGGGAACTTGGCTGGTTGGTAACTTTCGATGTCATCGATGTTTTCAAAGTATCGGTATTTTCGATTTTAGGCAGGCACCAATGAAATTGTTTTTAAACGAAACCTTAAAATTACAAAATTACAAAAGTTAACAGGTATTAACATATATAGTTAGTCCTAATTCTTACAAAACTCATATTAATTCGTTACTGTTGAGAAAACGAGTATGGGAACACTTACAAAACACTATAAAAATTGTTAAAAGAAATGTATCTATTAATTAAAGGCGTGCAGTAAAGAAAATACCGCTTATAATTAATGCATTCCCCTTATTGAAAGACCTTTTTAAGCACGTGATGCTGAAATTGGAATCTGCTTAAAATTGGATTGCAAACATCGATGAAACATCCACCAAAAACATAGAAAACATTTGTGATTGCAATCAAACAGGTGATCAATCACGGAACAAAATATTTATAATTAATTTGTTGTAATCAATGTTTTTTTTATTTTAGTTTTAAATATATTAATGTTCAAAATTTGGTTACACGAAGTTTAATTTTTGCAGGCGGCGTTGAAATTTATTTCGCTTTAATATTTATGTCGACTATAAAAACTTCTCATTCCTTGCTAACAAATACAAGCGACACAAAGTAAAATTTCCTAAATTTTGTACAACTATTTTTTTTTATAGTCATTAAATTGACAAATGAGTTTCGATTGATTTCAAGTTACCTTTTACCACTTCTGATTACCCAGTAAATTAACCATGTCATTCCTTGGAGATCGACCAAAGAGACCCCTGTCGTCTTGGATGTTGTGGATGAAGGAGTCCGGGCGGAAGCAGATCAAGTCGGAGAATCCCGGGCTAAGGGTCACGGAAGTGGCTGCCATGGGCGGTGCACTATGGCGCAGAATGGGGGAATCCGAGAAGTCCCAGTGGAAGAAGTCGGCCAGCGAGGCGATGGAAAAATACAAGGAGGAGGTAAAGCTCTGGAAGTCCCATGCCAAGATGGAAAAAAAGCATCTGAAGAAAAGAGGCCTTCCGAAAGCATCTCAATTCGCGGATACCTCGGCAAAGCCGACTTTCTTTGTCTACGACAGCTCAGATCATTCCTTTTCTCCGATCTGCATGGATTGCTTCTTAAAGTGTTCGTTGTCCCATTGGTCATGATTGTAGCTTGAAAAGTTTAACACTTTCTAAATTTCTGTTTTGAACTGGCAAGGCTCGCACACAAATCTCTAAATTAGAAAAATACACGACACGAATAACGACAAGAATACACTAAATAAGATCGGAAATTTGTGCAATAAATAAGCTATGCCATTTTTTTCTTTATGACCTGTGATTAGTTCTTCAGAGATTATTATTATCTTGTTATTCTTATTCTTAAAGCGTATACAAATTATTAATAAATTCAATTGATTCCGGAGTTACGGTTGATACTGCTATAACAAAATTATTTTTGCTGGTGATGAAGCTTCCCTGGCTATTGAAATTCTAGATAAATACAGGATGTTAAAAACAAATCAAATGTTACAAAATTATATTAATTTATTAGCTTCTTGAAAACAACGCTTTAAAAATTTCTCGTAAAAATACTAAATTGGGTATTGTTTAATGGTTTTTATTCGAAATTCAATTATAATTCATAATTTAAGGAAATGAATTCCTCTGGTAACTCTATAGTTTGCTGTATCACAACAAGTGCGCAAAGAAATCTTTGCTTTTGGTTTTGGTATTGCTTTTGGCTTTTTTTTTGTCTGCCTTCCATTCCCTTTCCCTCTTACCTGCTGTTCAAGCCAAAAGCCAATTTGGCTTCTTCTCTTTGCCCGGCAAATCGTGCTATGTTTTTGTTCTGGCTGGTTTTTCTGCTCCGTGCAATTAAAGCTGCCAGCTACTGCTCCTTTTTTCTATACCTCCTGCTGGCTTCTGCGTTTGGCTTTCTGGAACCAAGACAAATTGTATTCGTGCAGCGGGTATGTACACTTGGAGCCACAAAAATAGTAAACGTATAAACCTCGTTAAGTAAAATTATGTTCTGAAAACTCACATGCTTTCTTAAAAATAAAACGAATAAGATTCTTTTTTATTCAAATAACTTTTAAACAGTTAATAAGTATATTAAAATTTTTAATTTTTCGTTTAAAAAAAAAATATTAATAAAATTAAAAGGTTTTTAAAATTTGTAATTATGTTTTAAAATTTAAAAAAATGTGTAATGGACTTGATATTGCTTAAATGTATTTACCAAATATTTTTGTAACTGGCTTTATTTTGAAATCTAAAAACCCTAATGGAAGTGCATTTTTTTTTCTATGCAGTTATAATTTAATGGACGCTACTGTTCGGCTGGACTTCACTGTGAGTGTGTTGGTAATGGGAACACCTACACATATAGCTTCAGCTGATAATTGCAGTGCAAAAAGCAGCGGCAGCAATGGCAACTGCCTCCTGCAATAAAAGTCACAATGGCGACAGCTCACGACACATTACTCTGCTTCCTCCCTAATACTTTCACCTTTCTCCTTTCTCCCCAGTGAATGTGTTTGTGCGAGTGTGAGTGTGATTGACGGCCGGCGGGCTTTCTCATGTATGTCGTGTTTGTAGTTATTGTTGAATTCAATTTGCCGTAAATGTATTGTTGGCCTGACTCGGCTTGTGGGACTTGTGGTCGCTCCTGTTGCCTTTGGTTACAGCTCATTAGCAGCAGCACACATGCACAAATAAGAGCCGAGGACAACCATATACATCGCAGGATAACGCTGATATCGCGCTCTCGGTTAACTTAAATTCAACCAAGTCGCATGCGCCACGATCAAACAATCATTTTGTATGTACTTACAGTAAAGATTGGACTTAATATAATTATTCTGACCATATAAAATTAGGAGTACTACGCAATTGCCTTCAGATCGATGGATAAATAGTCTTAAAACTTACAAAAAAAAAATGCTTTACACCGAAAAAAATTGTATTCCAAAACAAAACAGATTTGGTTTTTCTTGACGTGTGGCAATACTTTAAAAAATGGTATAAACAGTGAAAATATGTTATAATTGAAAGTATTATTAACTATGTTATTATGTTCATTTAATTGTGTTCTGATCGTAAATATTTTTAATCTATTTCAAATTTACATTTCTTACAATATTTAAAAATAACGAGTTTTGTATATCAAGAAAATACTTAAAATTGCTTATACATTTTTTGTAAGTGTTTAACATAACGAGCCCTGACTGTACAAAGAACAGCCCATAAAAACAGCAAACAATTGCGATTGATTTATTGTGGCAATGGTTAATACGATTAAGCGATTGCGTCCATAACGAGAGTGAAACAAAAGCCATCACAATGGATCGCATCTGTACCTGTGTGTGTGTATGTGTGGTGCGTGGTGTGTGTTTTGCCGGCGGAGCTCAGCGGCTTTAATTGCCAGTCGGTTGGGCTCAGTTTGTCTGGCCGTCTTTCTGTGGATGTGGCTGTGGATATGGAAGTGAATGTGGTTGGGATTTATGCTTGTTCTACATGCATGTTGTACAAACAATTTAGCTGTTACTGCGACACAAGCACACACACACTCGAACACAGGCACAGCCTGCCTCAACACTCACACAGACACACACGTAAGATGGGAACTCAGTATGCGTGCTGGACGACCTCCATTTAACACCAAACGTGTCATTTGTGGCTATTTGCTGGTTGTGTGGTTGTATGCTTGGCATATTTACGTACTTTACGAGGCTCTGGCTGCGTTTTGTGGTCTATTAAGTGGCTCGCACTAAACCAAAAAAAAAAGCCATCATCTTTATGCGACTTGTGCAACAAGGCGTATGAGCGTTATGCCTCAAGTGAGCAACAAGCGCCGGCAAATAAGTACCCGTTCATAAAGCTCAACTTCCCATTGGATGGCCACTAAAATGCCTGAGTGCAGGGCGAAACTGTTTGCGAAACCCCAGTGAAGTGAGTGTGTAAACTAAAGTTCATTAAAAGTACAATTCTGAGTACTTCAGGAATATTAAAGCGCCGGGTTCTTATACACTTCACTTTAAGACGCAATAAAGCGAAATATTTTATTTATCAAACGAGACAAGACTGCATAACTCGAATGATGGTTTATCTTGATCCACAATTTTAGGACTCTAATTAATCCACCTCTTCCGAAGTGACATCCCTATAATATCCCCCGAAACGAAGGGTATAATAAAAGCAGAGAGGGATAAAGAAGGATTTCCGCAAGGGATGAAGAGATATACATTTTATTTTACCTAGCTTAGAGACAAGGTACATGGCTATAGATATTCTCATTATAATATAAAGGTTAGAGAACTTAAAACTGTTTGTCGAAATATATTTTTATTAAAACTACTTGAAAGGAAGGAATTTTAAATCAAAGTACATATGTTCTCGACAAATTTATTATTTATAATTTATGGTTAAAAAAAAGTGTTCTTAATGCTAAAAAACAAAGTGTATTAGTTCTGATCAATAGTTAAGTATAAATGAATGAAGAATAAATGTTTTAAGCTTGAAAACTGATTTATCGAATAATTACATAGAAAATAAATACTTTTAATTTTTACCATTGAATAATATTTAATTAATATTATCGCATCAAAAATCAAATCGAAAGGAAAGAAAAAGCAACAAAAACGCAAGAATCAAGACCAAACGATTACAGTTTCTCATCAATTTTTCCTTTTGTGAGCTTTTGAAATTGTTCAAACTACTGAAATAGGTACAACCAGCTAGACAGCACTCATCACTGGTTTTGGTGGAAGATGTTTACGACCCTGCCTGCTGTACATGCAACAGGGGCGAAGAGTCCTGCGGAGCATGGTGAAACGTCGACGGCTTCGCCTACGCCTGTGATAAAAGCGTCCAAGTAAACTTTCACCCGCCGCCGCAACGGAAGAAAACCGAAGCAACAGTAGAGCAGAACACTTGCCACATGTATGGGTTGTAAGAAGCTGTCTAAGTCCGCTCCGGGTTATGTGAGTGTATTAAAAGAACATAAAAAGCTGGCCAGGAATGCCTGATGGACTGGTGGTCTGGTAAGCCAGCACGGCTTTGGGGAAGAAGTGAGCAGCTGAGCCCAGCGACGAGCAGAGCGATGCTTAGATAAACAAATAAACAAATTAATAAAAAGCAAATAACGAAACAAGACGGAAACACGAGTCATAAATTAAATAGCAACAGCGAAAATTACTTAAACGAACGGCGACGGACGGCGATTGCTACTCCATTAAATCTCCACTCCAGACAAAAATTGTCCTCTTTGGCTGTCAATTTTTCGTAGCATACACACAGGCGCTCGTCCTTAACACAAAACAGAAAAGTTTGGCAAAAGTAAAAAAAACAAGCCCGCCTGGCAGAGAATATGGTGTGGCGGCAGGAGCAACTGGGTGCCAGCACGAATAATCTACTAGCGATTTATTTGAGGCGGCGAAGGAGTCGAAGTCGACTCCGCTGCCCTCAACTGCTATTTTGGTTACTTCTTTTATACTCGAATCACTCCTATATTCAAGGGTATACTCGAATCTTGGTATAAAATGTTTTAACGAAAAAAACAACTCTTTCACAAGAAATTCATAATTTTCCGATAAAGTTTGGTAAAAATAAATAAGTTTTATTTTGATACTTTCGTGATATTAATTTTTGAATAATTTTTCATACTTAATAGTTTAAATTTAAAATACATTTGTTACATAGCTTAGTTTCTTTGACAGTTTTTTTAAGGTGTAGCCAAGAGATTTAATTGGTATTTTTGTTGTATATGTATATTAAAGCCTAACGTTCATGCTTTAGTAAACTATAACATTTAGTAATAATTTATTTTATTTAATAATTTGAATATAGTCCTCATCTACTTAAAAAAACAAATTGTTTAAAGTTCTATAGAAGTTCTACTAATTACACAACAATCCCGCGAACTAGTCAACTGATTTGAAGATACCCTAGGGACCTTAAGGAATCTAATAGTCGGCTCACTCGACCGTGGCATTCTTTCTTGTTCATATTTCTAATTCTGCTTACTTGCCACCAACAAAGCGATGGAACCACCGAGGATGACGATGACGACGACGACGCCATCGCTCCGATTCCGATTCCGATGTGGATTCGGATTCGCCATCGTTTTCGGGTTGTATGGAGGTGGAGGTGGAGGTGGAGCATCGGCTCCTGGTCGACAGCCGCAGTCGTGCGTTGTCCTTTGCTGCTGTCGGTTGTGTTCGCGCTCCGGTGACTGTTGTGAATATCCTGAATATCCTGCCTAAATCAGGGACCTCGTCGACTTCCACGGAGCCAGCTGGGGCACAGCACACACCTGTGCGCTATCATCTCCACCTCTACGGGCGAGTAACGTAAGCAAATTTGCACGTAAATTGCGCTAAATTATCTTACAACACAGCGAAAATGTTTGCCTGGCGCGGATTTCTTCGCGTGTGCCTCGTGTGTCTTGTGTGCCTTCCGATCCACTCCACTCCATTCTAAAGGGGGGCAGGAGAAGGCAGGGGAAGGCAGGAAAAACACGAAATAACCGCTAAGTGTTTTACAACTTGAAGGCGTTAAGTTGGCCGTTCCACTGCCCAAGTTTTCCACAGGGCTCAGTTCAGAATGGCGAACAAAAATCTGTGTAAGCAGCTTTGCTGGCGGCTGAGAAAACCCCGCTGGCCATCAGTGCTTGTCAACGATTTTAGGTCGCTTTTTTTGTTGTGTATAGTCGTCTTATTGAATTTTAAAGATCGCGAAAGTGTGTCGTTTTACAAGCATAAAGAGGACACTAGCTGCACAGGTGAAAACGTGATGGCATGGCAAGAACATAGTTTACAAAACTTTCGCCTTTAATTCAATTAACAACTTTCGTGTGCGCGAAAACAACGAAAGTTATTAGTTTTTATGGGAAAGATATTTGTAATCACGTAGCTAAACTAGCACTGCACTAATTAGCAAGAATTTTTAACATTTTATGTTTGCATAAAAGAGGCCTAATTAATTTAAGCAAATAAAGTTTTTACTTTATGACGATGACTCGCAAGCTTAAGAACCATAAATTTGATATTTTTTATAAAGTAGGCATAGATTTACTTTACTAGTTTTTTTAGCTTTGAATATATAATTGACAATTGTTAATTTTTTCCGCTACGGACTAGTGTTATTCAACTCACTTATTTTCTTCTATTTGATTAATTTTGTATTATCTCATAAACTTAGCCAGTATTAACTGCAACATAATTTTTGGTTATGCAGTTACCTAAACCCAACTTTTGATTTGGTGCGAACTATTCAATTTGCAAATACCTTAGGGGAAATGCAATACAGATTTTGTATTATATATTTGATAATTACCTACAAATTACATGAAGTAAGATTTTAATTAAATTATTCGTATTTAAGTTAAACAACTAAGAAATATATAGTTGGCTGAATTGTTTATTTTCCAAATTATCATTGCTTCTTTTAAAATGAATTAAATATTTCGGTTTAGTTAACAATAAACTGATGTATATTGTTTTAGCCAAGTGAAATTATTTTTTAATAATCAAATTGATTTGAACCATCTTTTAGATTTGGCCATAACTGTTATTTTACCAATAAATACATTTTAGCATTTCATTTTAAGGAATCTGTAATATTTCGTTGAAAATACAGCCCAATAAAAACAGTATTTACTGTTTTAATTAAATGCGAATCATATTTTAGGTAGTGTATGTATATTTATGTGCCTGCCTCAACCACTTTAAGAGGTGCCTTTAATTTGTGTGGCTACATATGGCATATTTTGCATGAATTATCCCCGGGGTGTCCCCCAGGATATCGCAACGCCAGAATTCGTTGATGTAGGCCCTTATGCTTGCGAACTCCGCCGGTTCAGCGAACTCCATCCAAGGTCCTGCCACTTGTCAGCAGGAGGGATTACTCCATTCGCACTGCTCCGTTGACCACATTTTATTTTGTTTGTCAGCATTTACATGTCCATGTTTCCCCGGCGAAAGTGAGTTTTCCTGCTGCGCATGTGAGTGTGAGTAATGGCCGCGACAGTTTGTTGTTTTCTTGTTAGCCACGCATAAATTTTAATAGTTTTCCTATGCTTTAAGTGGCCCTCGGGCCTTGGCTGTCAGTATCTGTACCCTCACATACACCTCATACGCCGACCCACATTTTCACCTGCCCACGATGGCTATGTGTGTGTGTGTGGGCCTGTGTTTCGAGTCGAGTCGAGTGTCTAAAAATAAAGCCCGGCCCGCCGACAAGCTTATCCCTGCCTTGAGCTGTTCAAAATGGAATTATTAATATTTCACGTACCGAAATATAGACATGACCGACTGAAAATTCTTTCCACACACACACACACGGCTGAATGCGGAATGCCGCAATTCCTCGCTTTCACCGACTTTCTCCAACTTACCCCAAACATGACGGTTGTTGTTTATTCGCGCATCAGGACTCGTGGTCCTGTTTAATCATAACGAAATGCGGTTCACCTATACTATACTATGTATATATATATACATCCATGTATATGTAATGCGAGGTGGGTAGGTGCGTGTGTGGGCCTGGATTTCCATTAGCGCATTTCATTTTAATTAAACTGGCAACTGTCACGTAGTCGATCGATTTGTTAGGCATTAGGGCAGTAATTTGGTTGCCATGCCCCCCGCCCACGCTCAAAATATATGCTTAGCTTTTTTGATTTGTCTTACCCAACTATGAGCAAGAAGTTGATAAAGTAAACTTCTCGAAAAAGTTCAAAAGTTTTTCGGCAAATTGCGGTCGTCCAGCAGAAATACTCGTACAAACAGAGTGGAGGAAACTTTTCGGGATATACTTGGCCCAACTACAAGTGGAATTTGTGGACACAATTTCAATATTAATTTCAGACCACCTGAAAAAGGGAAAAGCCAAGGGAAATGCAAGGAAAAACAATTGAAATTTTGGAAAAATACCTGGGAGCCCAAAATTACCCAAATTGGGTGTCGCTTAACAATGTGTAGTACAAACTGTCTAAACGAATTACTTGCCATAATATTTGACTGGGACCGAAAAGGTTTGCATAGTTGGCCAAAAGTTTTCCAACGGTTTGACTCTGACTCTCAATTAAACGCATTTTAAGCGTTATGTGCTGCCAAACTTTTGTGGCAAAGTACTTGGGTGTCAAGAAAAGACGGGTGGCAGGAGGGTGAGTATAAAAGTTTTTCAATCGATGGCATAAAAGAAGCACCACCAGGCAATTAATGCCCCAAAAAAGCAGCAGGAAAAGCAAACTGTGAGTGGAAATTGGCGTGTTTGTCTGCGATTGTTGTTCGTGCCATTGTTTCTGCCCTCGAAATGAGAATGAGGATGAGGATGAGGAATCGTCTGCTTCTGAAGTAGTTCATTAAGTGATTGTTTGATTGATGGCTCGAGGGGCCATTATCAATGAATTGCCTGCATCTTCATTTTCACCTTCAGTCGATGATTTGATTTTCATTTCCCGATGCCGCACTTTGTTTGGCTTTTAACTGGCCAAGTAAGCGGATAACTGGGCTGTTTATTGGGGGGTGGAAAGTGCTGTTAATAATAGTTCGGACACGGATACGGGGTCAACTGTAGATATTCGACCTTGAGAAGTCCAACGCTGCACTGGCTTGCAACTGGACGGTGGCCGGTTTTGATTGATGACCGGGCTGGAAATAAATTGGAGTTTGCTTTTAATAAGCTTATGTTGCTGGTATAATGGTCCTTTGTCTGGCAGTTGATTGAAGGACAACTCAATTATCTTATTCAATTGGCAAAAAAGGGAAGTGTCCGAAGTAAGGAAAGGTTAATTGAAAATCTATCTAAAACTTTTAATATTTGTATAACATTTTGACTGACACAGACCATTATGGCAGTGAGGGAAAATAATCGTACTCTAACGTAAAGATATAAATTAATCTTAAAAAATATAAACTTAAATTGAATATCTATTAACTACTTTATTTTTGGTTTTTTCCACAGCTTACTAAGCTTTGTATCTCAATTATCTATTTTCCTCTATACGAATAATATCCCTAATGTCCTATTTACCTACATAATTACACTTTGTATAGTTATGCAGGCAATTGTAGATTCAATTATATACATGATTAGAGAAGGACAAATCGCAATTCCAGCGTAATAACTCAATCAACTCGTCTGCCGAAAATCAAGCCACGTTACGTATACGCAGCGGATGCCCGTTGACAATGTATGCCCAACTAACTAGCTGCCAGCAAATAGACAGGCACACATGGAGATGTGGATGGATGGATGGATGTATGGGTGAATGGGACTAGAGAATAGGAATCAGCCATTCATAAACACTGGGACTCCATGCTGGCCTGGCCTGGCCTGCTCATCTGTCAGCTGGAGTTTGGTTAGTCAAACGTTTGTTACATTTCGCTGACTAAAAATACAGCGTGTGTATGCGAGAGATGGCCACAGTAGCTGGGGTGCCGTAGTTCCAGGTAGTAGTTCGTTTATCTAATTATAGCTTCATTACTGCGCTGCCTGATAGAACTTGGATGGTTCGCAATGTGATGAGGTTACCCATGACCCACTATGAACCACCCAATACCCAGCACCCATTGCCGAAGGACGTTCGATGGCAAGTAGGCCATGTGCAACCCATTTGCCTCTGGCCTAGACATATTATTATCTGGCCAGGCAGCCAGCTAGTTTGCCCCCATCGATGTCAGTCAACATAATCATCGTCATCGGCCAGGCGGGAGTACATTATCGCAGCCGTGATAATGAACAGGCAGCGCAAAATTGCAGCCATTAGTTGGCCCAAAAAGCTGGTAAAGAGGCCCCCTTACGAGTGTTTACCACTTGGGCGCCCTGACATTTTCTTACAGCCACTACTACTGCTACTTCTACGGGAATTCTAGAGAGAAAAGTGTCAACCCAGTGATTTTATTTTATTTGATTTGCCTTCACTTTTCATGTGATTTTTCGATTCCTTTCTCTGTTTTTTTTTTTTTTTTGACGACTCTTGTTGACGCTGATTGAATACAAATACAAATATAAACAAATGGCGCTCACCTGCACGTAAATAAAAGCTTTAATACATCAACAAATAATGGCATGTCTGACAGTCACCTCGATTCCCCGCCCTCGCTTCCGTTTCCGTTTTCCCGTTTTCTCGTTCACCTTTTTTCTCTTTTTATATATACAATATTTATATATATATATATATACATTTTTCTTGTTTTATTTTTGTTTCGCTGCCTTGCTAGCAGTAAATTCGATTTTCAACATTTTACACTTTGATTTTGTTGCCGCTGCCTGGCTGCTGTCCTTGTCATTATGTGATTTTGGCTGAAAAACACACACAATAGAAATAATGGAAATAAATAGGGAT